ACGACAACACCAACTCTGCTCTCCAGCATGCGCCTGCCATCCACCATCCACCATCCTGCAGCATTGCATGGTTGGTGGCCCTTTAGAGGAAACGGCGACACGCTGCAGAAGCGATTCGCTGTCCTGCAACACTTTTTGGCCGCCCGCAGCTATTTTGATTGCTTCAAACTATCTGACATGCAAACAATGTCCCCGGGAACGTTGGAGAGGGGTGGAGAAACCGGCTGGGCAGAGCTGCAAAAGCCTCCAATCGTGAGTCTCGATCTAGCCAAGAGAAGGCACAGCAAGCTTAGACTTCAGGTCTGCGACGATAATTCGGGGATATTTCGGTGAGTGAGCTTGACGTCGAGATCTCCTGACTCGTTCTTCCTATTCTTGAAGCTGCCTTTCTCCTCATCTGGAAAGCCTGGGTGTTAGGGACTTGGCCTGCATCGAGAGGTTTTGGAGGAATATGACCAACGGGCTAGACTTCCACCCCCCATCTCACCCCCAGACTTTGAACTGCGGGGTGCAGAAACGCGGGGGGCGCGGCAGTCGACCCTTGGCCCGGATAATGACCAGTCCAAAGCCAGGACCAGTTGGACCCGGGAATATCGGGTCTGATTGTGTGTCCGATGCAACTGTGCGGGGGACTAGGAGTGAGCTCCGGCCCAAGCTATCCTTACCATGTTTGCTTGGAGCTCTCTCAAAGAGTGAGACAGAGCTGAAAGCTCCCAAAATGGGATATACTGCACTGATTCGGGGTCGAAGGTTTGCGGTGCGGCTCAGCTTGTAAGGGAGACCAGGCATTGGGCTTCCTCAGATTTTCTTGGCAAGTCGGCCTTGCACTACTCCGCATATCCCGCCAATTGCCTGCTGCCGTAACGGCCGCGTTGGGCGAGAGACTATCATCGGGCATGCGGATGTCTGGATGCTCACATTCTTTCCTGGGGGGAACATCGGCAGTGAGTTTCTCCTCCACCATTCATCTACCCAACAATTGGCAACGGCGTATGAGTGGCACCGCATGAAGCTGATGGTCCTGCGCCTTTGGTATCGGTGAGTGCGGGGAAAGCTGGGACGGCATGTTGATCGGAGAGCATAGCCATGCTGCCATGCATTGGCTTTGGGCGATACACTTTCACACACGCGCGTCGGTGATAGGTCGCGAGCCAACAAACGACACCGGATGACACGGACTCTGCATGCTTCGGACCAAATCACATCGCGAGGGCCACGGATATCCTGGAGGGATATTCTATGGCTTCCCCTCATCCTCGCCCTCCCTGCCGGATCTTTGGTTTGATATCCTGGAGGGTCTGGAGTAAAGTCGGGGTCGAGAACCATCCTGCCAGGACGACGAGGGGTAGCAGCGAGGAGAAAGAAGCACAGATGACTTATGCATTGCTTCCTCCCATCTCTTCATATCTATTTAACGACCGCCCCGACGGATTGGAATTCATCTGGAATATCCTTTAATCATTCGAACGCATTAGCAGTGTTGCAGTTGACCTGGCACGGTGTTCACGCCGCTTTGACAACTGCTGCTCGACCTTTTCTACTGAAACAAGTGCCTCAAAACTTCTTTTTGATATCCCACCGGCAACATGAGCGGAGCTATTCCGGACGAGTTTGACATTATTGTCTGTGGTGGTGGCAGCTGTGGTTGTGTCGTTGCTGGACGGTTTGTCTCATCTGTTCAGACTGACAGTCTGTCAGTGGTGTTTCTAGAACAACACTAATATCCAACACAGACTTGCCAACTTGGACCACAGTCTCAAGGTGCTTCTCATCGAAAATGGCGAGAGCAACCTCAACAACCCATGGGTGTTCCGCCCGGGCATCTACCCACGAAACATGAAGCTGGACTCAAAGACGGCCACGTTCTACGAGTCCAGACCTTCCAAGCATCTCTCTGGACGTTCAGCCATTGTCCCTTGCGCCAACATTCTCGGCGGAGGCTCTTCGATTAACTTCATGGTTGGTATATCGCAATCACTGTTGGAAAAATGTACTGACGCTAGTAACAGATGTACACCCGTGCATCGGCCTCCGACTACGATGACTTCCAGGCAAAGGGCTGGTCTACCAAGGAGCTCCTGCCTCTGATGAAGAAGCACGAGACATATCAGCGAGCTTCCCATAACCGGTAAGTTGCCTTAATGAGCACTTGTACGGCAATCGAAACTTTGACTGATATGCCATGTGTTAGGGACACTCACGGATTTGACGGGCCTATTAAGGTTTCATTCGGCAACTAGTAAGTTCAGCTCCCCGCAGAGTCGAACCGTAATGGAAGGATCCGAAACTAACCGTCGTTACACAGCACGTACCCCATCAAGGACGACTTCCTTCGTGCTGCTTCCTCCCAGGGTATCCCTGTCGTCGACGATCTCCAGGATCTGTCGACTGGTCATGGAGCCGAGCAATGGCTCAAGTGGATCAACCGAGACGTGAGCTTATTATGTGCCATTAACAAGAATAAAACATGTTCCGTTCACTAACTATCACAACCAGACTGGCCGCCGCAGTGACAGCGCTCACGCTTACATCCACGCAACCCGGGCCAAGCACTCCAACCTGTACCTTGCCTGCAACACCAAGGTTGACAAGGTCATTATTGAGAACGGCCGAGCCGTTGGTGTCCACACCATGTAAGTGATATTACCAATGCTACTACCTGCTCCAGATCTGACTTTGAATGATAGCCCGAGCAAGCCACTCCGCCCCAACGAGCTCAAAGGACGCACGTTCAGAGCTCGCAAGCAGATTGTCATTTCTGGTGGCACTCTCTCTTCGCCTCTCATTCTCCAGCGCTCTGGTGTTGGTGACCCCGAGAAGCTTCGCCGCGCTGGCGTAGAGCCCATCGTCGACCTCCCCGGTGTTGGTCTCAACTTCCAGGACCACTACCTCACATTCTCGACATACCGCGCGAAGCCCGGCACCGAGAGCTTCGACGACTTTGTCCGCGGAGACCCCGAGACCCAGAAGCGTATGCTATCACACCCCCAGTGTTGAAATATTGCCTGACTAACTTGGCCTTTAGGCGTCTTTGATGAGTGGAACATTAAGGGTACCGGTCCACTTGCCACCAACGGTATCGAGGCTGGTGTCAAGATCCGCCCTACTCCCGAGGAACTGGCCGAGTTCGAGAAATGGCCCACCCCACACTTCAAGGACGGCTGGAAGTCGTACTTCGAGAACAAGCCCGACAAGCCAGTCATGCATTACTCCGTCATCGCGGGTTGGTTCGGTGACCACATGGTCATGCCCCCAGGCAACTTCTTCACCATGTTCCACTTCCTCGAGTACCCCTTCTCGCGTGGATCCACCCACATCACCTCGCCCAACCCGTACGACGCGCCCGACTTCGATGCCGGCTTCATGAACGACGAACGAGACATGGTCCCCATGGTCTGGGGCTACATCAAGTCCCGCGAGACGGCCCGCCGCATGGACGCCTACGCCGGAGAGGTCGCCAACATGCACCCCTTCTTCTCGTACGACTCGCAGGCTCGCGCCAGGGACATGGACCTCGAGACTACCAACAAGTACGCCCTGCCGGGTAACCTGAGCGCTGGTATCCAGCACGGCAGCTGGACTCAGCCGCTCAACGAGGCAGAGAGCAAGGCCGACAAGATTAAGACTCTGTCGTCCCACTGCGTCGACGGTCGTGATGAGCTGAAGTACTCTGACGAGGATATCAAGGCTGTTGAGGAGTGGGTTAAGCGCCACGTTGAGACCACCTGGCATAGTCTCGGAGTAAGTTTTTGAAGCCCTTTCCGGCATAAACCAACACGCGCTCACAAATATCTAGACTTGCTCCATGGCTCCCAAGGAGGGCAACAGCATCGTCAAGCACGGTGTCTTGGACGAGCGCCTGAACGTCCACGGCGTCAAGGGCCTCAAGGTCGCCGATCTCTCCATCTGCCCCGACAATGTCGGCTGCAACACGTACGTTTTTGAGATCCCTATCCATCAGAGGTTCGCCCTGCTAACTTCCTCTCAAGATATTCCACCGCTCTTCTCATCGGCGAGAAGGCTGCCATGCTCGTCGCGGAGGACTTGGGATACTCTGGCGAGGCCCTGGAGATGAAGGTGCCCACATATCACGCGCCCGGCGAGTTTGTTCTTCAACATCGTCTCTAATTGGATGGCACTGCTTTTGTTTGCAACTTTGCCCTTACCTCCACAAAATTGGATGTATGTACGAGACCAAATACCTTGCGACTTGTATTGCTTTGTGTTGTTTGTAGTTTGTCGATAGCCAATCTCAATATTGTCAAATATGCCTCGGTTTGCCTGATGGATATACCAAGATCAAAAGTCCTTGTTGGAACAGCAAAGGCTGATAAGGAGTAATAGGCAGGTACCATGGGCTGGCTGGCACCTGCCCTGGGCGAAGTGGGACAACTGGCTTAGTCATCACGGCCGGATAAAGGTGGGACAACCACCCAGGCCGTCACTACCTACTTCGACCGACTCCTGCCTACAATGTAAGATAGAACAACAAGAAGAACAAGCAATAGGATCACCAACAGACGAGTGATAATTGCTACGACCCCGTGAACCAACAGTCCTCAATCTGCAATCAATGAATCCATTGGATGTGGTTGTCAAGGGGTTTGAGGGTTGCATGGTGGACTTCGGTCGGATATCGGCAATGATTTGTATCACCTACTTTCGGGAGCCTTTGGAACACAAATTTCTTCGCTCGTGTGGCAACCGTGAAACGGCCACCGTCAAAATTGGCTTGTTGATCTGATCTGTCATCCCATATCAAATCAATGCAACCGACTTTAGGCTCAATTAGTCTAAGTCAACGCACGCTGGCGAGGACCGGCACGGACGGCCGGGTCAGTGGGAACTATTGCGTAGTTTGGCTGATGAGCTCTAAGTTACGTCATGACTGGGCCTGTCCTGGTCTTATCTCGAAGCATTTACTGTGCGCTGATCAACTCTGAAAGAGTATTTGAACTCCGACGTAAAAGAAACCTGTCAGGGGATTGCTTGGCATATTTAAGTTGATGCTCAAGAAGCTTGTTTCTACTATCCAGAATCGAGCTTACTACTGAACGATAACTACGCAATGTCAGACTCTAACTCTCCCCACATCAAAACCCGCGATACCCCATCTTGGGGGTTGTATCAGCGAGAGAACTTCTGGAAGCTGAACGAGGGCGAAGTTCCCCAGTTCAATACTCGTGAGTCCTTGTAACAGAGACGCGACGCTCACCATGGATTGGACTAATCGGTATTAGACCCCGAAAAACTCGAGGAGCTTGCTAAGCAGAAGTTGACTCAGAATGGATGGTACGGGTTCATCCAATAAACTCTCGCAATTCCTCCTAATTTCTAACAGCAACCCAGGTACTATGCGTCTTCGAACGCGGGCCTTTCACACACGCATCTCGCGAACCGCCAAGCATTCTTTCGACACAAGATCGTCCCTCGTCAATTAGTCGACACCAACGAGCGTTCCACCCGAACCACCATCTTTGGCCACGAGGTTTCTGCTCCAATTGGAATTGCCCCGATTGGCATCAACAAGATTTACCACCCGCAGGGCGAGCTGCCCGTGGCCAAAGTTGCCGGGGAGCTAGGCATCCCTTACAGCCTTTCAACAGCAGGATCATGCCCCATTGAAGATGTCGCCGAAGCCAATGACGCTGGGCGCGCTCCGGCTATCACAGCTCAGTCCGCAGATAAATCCAAGATCCCAGAGGGTCCACGTTTCTTCCAGCTCTACATGCCACACGATGACGAGCTCACCATCTCCTTGTTGACGAGGGCCCACGAATCTGGCTTCACGGCGTGTATACTTACAACGGATACCTGGCAACTAGGATGGCGACACGACGATATCGCAACTTCAAACTATGCGTTCTACCGCGGCATCGGCGCCGACCTAGGCCTCACCGACCCCGCTTTCCGAAAACGCCTCGCGGCCAAGGGAATCGATCCCCAGAAGGAACCGGAGAAGGCCGCCGCGATGTGGATCGACAGCATCTGGCACGGCCGCGCGTGGTCCTGGGATAAGGCCGTGTGGGCGCGGAAGCAGTGGCAGAAGATCAGCGGTGGAAAGCCGTTCTTGATCAAGGGCATTCAGAGGGTCGACGACGCGGAGAAGGCAGCGGATCTGGGGTTCGAGGGTATTGTTGTGAGTAATCATGCTGGGAGACAGGTTGACGGGGCGATTGCGAGTTTAGATGCGCTGGAGAAGATTACGGAGAGGGTGGGAGACAGGATTGTTGTCACGTTTGATAGTGGTGTTAGGGGCGCGGCGGACGTGGTGAAGGCGCTCGCACTGGGAGCCAAGTTTGTCTTTATTGGAAGGTTGTGGATCTGGGGGCTGAGTATCATGGGTGAGTATGGAGTGAGGCATGTGCTGAGGGGATTGTTGGCGGATTTAGATATTTTGATGAACGTGGCAGGTATTCAAAAGGTGGAGGATATTAACAAGGACTTACTGGAGTCTTTGCCCAAGTCTTACGGGCTGATCTCGGAGAAGAGCAAGTTGTAGACCATACGTGGACATAGTTATCAGAGTCACGAACAGCATAGACGAACACATGCGGTAATCGAATTAAAGACGCAATCATGTTTAGTATGGCAGGGGCTCGAGCTGAGCCAAGCCCTCTCATGAAGAACTTATGCAAGAAAAGTATATGTACAATGTGGCAAGAAAGCCTTGATTCCTGAACCCGGTCTCTTAAGGGCAGAAGCAAGTGTCGTCGAAGCAGTCATAGGTGTCGCCGCACTGTAGGAAAGTGGATTAGCACAAGACCACTCACTACACCTACAACAACAAGTAGTCGCATATTGGAATGAAAGCCGTCTTACCTGAGTGATGCACTGGTTGACCTTCGCCAGGCTGCAAGACTCCTGAGGAACGGGGTTTGGAGCAGCAATGGCAGCCGAGACGGCGGCAAGGAGGACGAAGACGCTGAACTGCATGATTGGATGAAAGGCGTAGGCCTCGGGCTTGTGAATTTGGATGATATTTTAGACTGAGATGACACTGATGACGACTCTACGAGGAATGAGATGGGCTCCAGTGTCGATTGCGTGCTGACAAGTTCATTCTTATACTTGGACTTTGCCTTACAGTAGTCTCCTGAGATTCCGATCCGAGCTCTACGTACTTGCCCATCTCTTAATCTCGTACGCCTCTAGACCGCTCGTACGCCGTCATCGAGACACCCAAGCTGTGGAGTTGACAGGTTTGCATCCGTATGAGTGCGCTAATGATTGGCGGATCAAGAAGTGGTTTGCGCCAGCCGCCGCTGGGCAGAAGATTGTCCGGTAAAGTCAAATATTGTTGGTATCCCTATCACAGGTGTCGCAAAAACGACGCCGATAATTACGGGCAGCAATTAACGCCATATATACCCTACGACAACAGGGTATTGGTTCGAACCGTAGGGTCCTGGGGGTGACGAAGTATCAATATGTCTATATTGGTTGATTCTGCGTAAGGAGTTGAAGGGAGATTCCAACCGGAGGTTGGGTGGACCGTCGAGGTGTAATTGTACCCTCTCGAGGTGGCCCCTGCTCTACCCTTACTCACGGTCGAATTGGGCTTCCAATCCGACAAATATAGTGTGAGGATTAAGGTAGTGTCTTGGCAGCTCTAGCTGGACACAACTCAATATGTGTACCGGGAAAGATGCGTTTAAGAGCCCGAATCATGGACGGATAGTGGGCAACTCATGTACGAGTATATGTGGCCCGCCACACTGGTTGCGCAGGTCGTCGATCAGCGATATATCAGAATCAGTTTCATCTAGATTCGCTAGGTTGAAGATGGCCGCTGAGAAGTCCGTGAGACTAAGAGGGTCTTTACCCTTTACGCCTCGGACTCGACCCCCAGACTCCCTAAAGCCCTTGTTCAAATCTCTTGTCTATTCAGTACATGAACCGCGCCCATGGGATCGGTACCTGAGCTATCCATACTACGGAGTACAGTGGATCACAATACAGCTTCGCTAACGACGAGATACGTCGGTACTTGGAGTTAAAGTGGCGCGAAATGGTCGCCAAGACATGACTCGACTTTCTGTGGCTACTGTTGCCGTGAGGTCGCACGAGAGTGTGCCAAGCAATCAAAAATGAGGAATTACAGGAGCGACAGCGAAATATGAACCGAAAACTTATGAGACATTGGATCCGTGGAAGCCACGGACAAGTGAGCAACAGCCGGCTCGGGATGTTGCCGCACCCCGAGACTCACAAGTTGTGTCTTCGAGCTGTTCTGTCACACTCACCAAGAAAGGGATTCGCCCCCGTTCGTAACAATTGATTGAAAGACCTCTTTAGCACAATAGATGACCTGAGAAAACGCTCTTAAGAATCTGCATTCTGCAAATCACGTCATTTGACCGCGTCAGCAGTTGTCTTGATTGCTCGGATTTGACTTTGGTATGCCAGCGCAGAGCCAAGGATCTCGACTGTTCCGAGCTCGTTAAGACGCTTCACGGGGTCGATGCTGAACTTTGCCGCTACCTTCCTTGCAAGTTCAGCTGGAGAGCCTCCCTTCACTGACCTTTCACATTGTAAACTCTGTTGCCTCAAAAGTGTATCATTATTAATTATTGCTCCCTTGTTGATACCGCGCTTATTTGCACTTCTAGCGACGACCGAATTATGACCTTGACACATTTTCAGAGGGAATGTAGACTCAGGAGAGCATCGATCCCCTGCGCCTTCGAGTTCCTTTGACCAGCACTAGGAAGCTTGAGAATCAAGCAACAAGTCATTTGGATGGATGATGATGCATTGAGGAAAACCACGCCATCATCTGTGATGCATTTTGGCATAAACCATTCAGTTCAATCTACTCACATCCTCCATCCTATCATAACCTTGCAAAGTTTCGACAAACAAGAGTCAAAAGCTCAAGCGTCTCACTTCTCTTCCAATATCTCCTACTACAAACTTGAATTCTACTCGATCGGTACAAAATCTGACGAGGGGCTGGGTGTTCTCAACGGTGCAACTACAACAGTTCCCGCCAGCTTCACGTCCCCCTCGTTCCCATATCCTAGGCGTTTCTGATCGGTCGAAGTTTGGGTCCATACTGGCGTTGTCGGCGTTCTTGAGAAGACCATTGGCCTCGGGATTGAAAGAGTCGGCTCGCTGGAGCTATCTCCATCCACACTACTTCTCCTACTTGTCTGCATATATCCTATGGCGAGCAGGTATCGCAGGCTCTTCCTGAGGGATGTTTTGACCGAGTCTTGATATTCCAGCTGGTTGTCAATTGACATTACCCCTAGAGGTTGGCCGAGTTTGCCGCCTGTATCTTCGACAAAATGAAGGACCGGCCACAGCCTGTGGCTTGGCCCTTTCGCCTCAACCTCCTCGTGCAGGCTTCTCAACCAACGTTTGGAGTCTGTCGGCTCCATTGCGCGGCCTGTTTCCTCTTTGACAATGTCCCAGTACTCTCCCATGGTGATACCGTTGAGGACTTTCTTGATAACGGGATAATCTCCGCTGTTTTCATGGTAGAAGCAGCTATCGAGGATGGTGTTGGCTACGAGATCAACACCTGCTGCAGCGAGCCACAGGTCGCGTTCGCTGTCATTGAACATCCCCATATCTAATGCACTGGCTGTCAATCGCCAAAGGAAATCATCCGTGTTGGAAATGCCATCGGAGGAGCTGCCCATGATCAAGCCAGGTTTCACAATTGTGGCCAAACAGCCGAAACCAGCACGAGTGAGTCGCTCAGCGTATCGCGCAACAAGGATCTCAGCAACGAATTTGGTCTGACTGTAGGCTGGATACGACTTCAGCTCCGCGGCGATTTCTTCGACATCGTCTGGAGAGGTGGACAAGTGACCGCCTGATACGTAAGTCAGCCGAACTGAACGAGATGCCGTCGCTTTTGTCAAAGCTGCGAGAATGTTGACCGTGGAAAGAACATTAGCTGGTGTCAAGGCCTGGAAGTCCGCCATCCAGTTGACAACTGCCCCATTGTGGACGACCGCATCGATCAAGTCACCATCGATACTTGAACCATCGAGTCGAGACCACAGGGCTTCTGCAAGACCAAGATGTGGAAGAGATAGATCGCCATGCCAAACTTCGATACGGTTGACGTACTCTTCTTGCCACCAGCTGCTACCACGAGCAAGAGACAAGAGTCGCTCAGTGGCGTGGGCTGAGTCTTGACCTCTAACTAACACCACGACCTTGCGACTCTGCGGCAGCTGCAAGATTTGAGCCAGCAGTTGGTTTCCGAGAAACCCGGTAGCTCCTGTTAAGAGGATGATCTGAGGGGCATGTATAGTCTCAACCACTGCATGTGATCTCGGCAACAGCGAGGCTGCAAGGACTTGATCATGAACTTCAATCTCCTGCATCAAGTCGATAGTGGTGTCATCGTGAGATCCTTGCTGATCTTCAATGACCAATTGAGCAATATCTCTGACGGTTGCCGCGCTGTTCATATACTTTTGGATAGGGATGCTGACATTGTAGCTCTTTCGAACGAATGTTGACAAAGAGATGACCTGGATAGAGTCCATCCCAGCGTAGTAAGGGTTGAAGTTGTGACCACGCAGGACTTTCGATCTCCGGGGATCACCAACCGATAGGAGCTGAGCCAGCTTGTTGCTAATGCTCAGAGCAATGTGCTCGCTAGCTGCTAGCATGTCGGCGTCTTCATCAATAATGCCGCTTCCTAGCTTGTCTGTAATGCTCGAAGCCGAAGCATCTTCCTTCAGAGTGCGCCGATCAAGCTTTCCAGTCGGGGTGAATGGAATGTTTTCGACGGGGATCAAGTGCGAAGGAACCATGTAGGCAGGAAGCACCGAAGCCAGCTGCTGTTTCAAGCGATCAGCAAGCCCCTCGATGATGTCCCTCTTCTCCGCAAAACCAAAACCATGGTTTTCCAGCTGGATGAAAGCAACCAGCGACTTGCTTGAAGATCCTGAAAGTACGATTGCATCAACAGCTACGATAGAGCCCGAGGGCAACAGCTGGGCGAGTTGATGTTCCACTTCTCCGGGCTCAACTCTCTGTCCGCGCAATTTGATTTGTGTATCTTTTCGTCCAAGATAGGATATCGAACCATCGGAGTTCAGCATTCCGAGATCGCCTGTTTTATACATTCTTCTGAGTGCACTACCAGCTTCGATCTCGGTGATCCAGGCTGGATTGGTGATGAACGACTTGGCTGTTTTGTCTGCATCACCGAGATATCCACGAGCAAGACTTGGCCCTTCGATCAAAAGCTCGCCGACACTACCAATTGGTGCCAGGATGTCATGATTGCTCGGATCGACGATCCAGGTGAGGGTTTTGGCTCCATGACCAATGGAGTCTGTCTTGAACCCACCGCTGCTGATATCAGCGGTGGTACAGACACTGCCTTCGCAAGGCCCGTAAGCATTGATGAGCTGCACGATCCCAGACCAGGTCTCGATGCAATCCATTGTCATAGCTTCTCCACCCATGCAGATAGTCTTCATGCTGGGAAAATCTTTTGGCTCAAGAGTTCGTGCGAAAGACGGTGTGAAGAAGGCCCAATTCGCCTGAGATCTCGAAACAAAATCTGCGAGGTTGTTCATCCTCTCTTCATCAGACGGCACACAGATACAAGCTCCAAGAACGAACGAATTGATGATCTCAATGATGCTGACGTCAAAGACATGGGATGAGAATTGGAGGATCCTTGAGGTCTTGGACATGTGCATCCCATCAGAATGAGCATTGGCCGCAGAACACAAGGTCTTGTGTTCTTGAACGACACCTTTAGGCTGTCCAGTGCTGCCAGATGTGAAGATCACAGTTGCGGCATTGCATGGTTGAACGTCGTGATTGGAAAAGGTGGCCACTCCAACTTCCTCAACCTTGGCGAAGAAAATGGAGTCAACAACAACAGTGTGAACATCCAGTCCAGAGAACGAATCTGCATTGGCACTAGAAGCAACGACCACTTTTGCCATCGTGTTGTTGACAATGAACGCTTTACGGTCAGGTGGATGTGCGGGGTCAAGAGGTACCATCGCTCCTCCAGCTTTGAGAATGGCAAGCATCGAGACGATGGTATACATCGACTTTTCGAAGCAGTAAGGTACCATCTTCTCTGGCCCAACACCCAGCTCCATCAAAACTCTAGCAAGCTGAGATGCCATTGTGTCGAGTTGGGAAAAGGTGAGAAGACCATCCCACGCGAAAACAGCTTGAGAGTCAGGCTGGGTGCGCACGTGTTCCTCAAAAATGGCGTGAACACACGAATCAATCGTTTGAGTCGGATGCTGATTCCACTTCGACATATTGGCAAGATCCTTTGCAAGGGGTCTGCGGAAGAACTCATTCAGGACTTGGTGTTCCGAAGATGCCAGGAACTCAAGAGCGCTTTCGAAATAGTCGACGAGGCGTTCCATGTGGAGAGGTTCGATGTACCGAGGATCGTAGTTTAAATTCAAAAAGACCTCATGCTGCGCAAGATTGCACTCGAACATTACAGCGTGAGATCTGAACTTGTCAAGGTCCTGAGGCCTGTGAAAGCCGACGAATGGACCGCCCGTCATAGCCATATCGACCTCTGGCTGTACGATCATCATGGTTTGGAAGTCGCAGGCTGATCGGCATGAAGAATTGATGCGAGCAATGTTCTGTATTCCTATCTGCTCGAACGGAATCATGTTGATTGTGCTCATCTGTATGCTGTCAAGCAAGTCGCGCACAGTCGACGTGCCATTGCATCGTATCCTCAGTGGAACAGTCGCGATGATTGGCCCGAGAATGGCTTCAATGTTGTCAAAAGGAGCATTCCTTCCAGACGATGTAACACCGAAGACGATATCGTCAGAATTGCTAAAGCGGCTGATGACCAATCCCCAAGCTGCTCGCAGCACTGTAGTCGTGGTGGCATCTGTGCTTGATGATGGTACAGGGACCTGTCGACGGGCAAAAGCTGGACCTTGATGCTCTAGGGCACCATGCACTGCGGATGGCTTCCTCGGGAACGATGCAAATTCTGCTCCCTCAAAGACTGAGCTCCAGTACCTCGATGCAGATTCCATATGCATGTCCTTGAAATGCTTCATGAACGACGCAAAGGAAGTTTCAGCTGGCTTCAGAGCACCATGGAACGCATCCCGTACTGATTGAAAAGTGAGGCCAACAGCTTGGCCATCAGTCACAGCGTGGTGCACCGTCCATACCATGTGACAAGCGTCCCCGTTTGCGGCATAGACAATACCGAACCGATTGAGGGGCATTCCAAAGGTTGATGGTGCGTTCAAGTCCATCTCAAGATACTCTTCGAGGTTGAAACTCTCATTCCAAGACAGGTTCTCACGGACGATGACTTGGAGTATACCCGAAGAAAAGGTATCAACCATTCGAACGCGGAGCATTCCATGGGTCTCGGCAACAGTCTCCCAAGCCATCTTCAACCTTGCAATATCGATGTCGACGTGGAGGTCAAGAACGTATTGAACCAAGTAAGAGTTGGAAGTTGAAGAAGATAGTGCCATGAGACCTTCTTGCAACGGAGTACAAGGAAATGCATCTTCAATGTCTTCTGTGCCAATAGCACATTCGTAGGAAATCTCGTCGAGTACATCCCCGAAGCTTTCTTTGTTTACAAGCTCGAACGACCGTATCTCAACTGTAGTCTTCTTGAACTCAGTCGCAAGTCGGCAAAGATCGTGCAAAGATGGACTCTTGAAAATCTGAGCAACACTCAATTGCAACCCTTTTCTGCGAGCAGCCGTGACTAGGCTGATGGCCGCGAGTGAGTCTCCGCCAAGACGGAAGAAACTACTCGAAGCCAAGATCGCGACAGACTGAATACCAAGGACTTCAGCCCAGAGGTTCCGCATGAGACGGAGCTGTGGTGTCTCTTCAACCTGTATGAGAGAGTCGGTCTGGGCGAAGAGGTAGAACTGCTCGACAGTCAAGGACGCGGCTTCATGTCGGAGTCTCTTGACATCCGCCTTGCCATTTGGGCTCAAGGGGAAACCAGAGAGAGGGATATATATCGATGGGCGCATCCATGATGGAAGCTTTTGAGATATCTCTTCTTCGACTTCGGGGATTGCCTCTAGGAGAGGTGGGTACCGCCGAGTCATGATATAGCTTGACATATTGTCTGGTCGTTGGTTAGACTCTCTGTCAAGGCAAACAAAAGCGACGAGCACTTTAGACTGTGCCTTCGTATCTTGAGTCGGTCGATTGAGCACATCTACGACGATGTCGGGAGTGCGGAACGCTGCTCGAAGATGGTACTCAACCTCTGAAGCTTCCAGACGTTGCCCGGATATTTTGAGTTGAGTGTCCTTCCGGCCTTCAAAGTGAATTACACCGTTCTCGTCAAAGCGACACAGGTCTCCGGTTTTGTACAGTCTAGACCGTCGACCATGTTTAGCAAGCCAAGGCGGATCTCGAACAAAAGCTTGGTTTGGACCTTCGTTGTCTGCAAAGTTCAAGTAACCCCTTGCAAGTTGAGGGCTCTCAAGGAGCAGCTCGCCAGCTGCTCCCAGGGGTGACAAACGATTGGGATCCTCAGGGTCGGTAATCCAACACAGCGTACCAACGCCGCGTCCAATCGCCCCTGCCTTGGATGAAAGTGACAATGGGTGCATAGTAGAGAACACCGTGTTCTCAGTAGGGCCGTACGCATGAATAAGATTGCGGCCGGCCGCCCACGTCTCAATATTGTCTTGGCCCAGAGGCTCGCCGCCGATGACCACAGTTGTTAAGCCAGGAACCGCAAAAGGCTCCAGTAGACGAATAACTGAAGGCGTGAAGAATGCCCAGTTCACTCTCTTCTCTTGAATGACAGCTGTGATGTTGTCTAGCCGCTCATCTGTTGATGGAATGACTACACATCCCCCGAAGGCAAGTGTAGTCAAGATCTCCGCAATCGATGCATCAAAAGTGTGTCGAGCATATTGGAGAGTCCTGGTGTTTTGATTAAAACTAGTCGCCTGACCGTGAGCCATGACACTTGATGCGCACGCAGCGTGGTCAATCATCACACCTTTTGGTTCTCCAGTGCTTCCTGAGGTGAACATGATATACGCTAGGTTCCATGGGCGAACGGTCGAAGCGCTTCTAGAGATGAGGGCAGGGGCCTTGTCGGCCCAAGAATTGCCCAAGCCAAACACTTCCTGGGAGAAGTGTAGCAGGTGCTGGATATACACTTCGGAACACATAATAACCTTGGCCTGGATTTGGTCTAAAATGGAAGAGATTCGGTTGTCGGGCTGTGAGGGGTCCAAGGGAACGAATGCGCCGCCGGCCTTGAGAACTGCCACAGTGGCTACGATATTCCACATGCTCTTGTCAAAGAATAGAGCAACCGTAGATTCGGGGCCGACACCGCGCTCGCGAAGCTCTTGAGCAACTCTGGAAGAAGCTGCGTCAAGCTCAGTGTATGACATGAGACCGTCCCATGCATCCACAGCTGGGCTAAGGGGAGAATTCCGGATGCGTTTGTCGATCATATCGCTCACATTTGTATCGACATGATCCGGAGAGCGTTGATTCCAGTCAAGGCACTGTTGGTAGTCGCGGTCGTTCATGAGCTCAATCTCAGAAACTCTAGAGTAAGGGCGTGAGACAAGGTTCTCCAACACCTGACGGAAGGTGGATAGAATGCATCTAGCTTGCCAGTCTGATAGACAAGATACAGTGTATTCACACCTCAATATGATGCCTCGGGTGAAGTGGTCCCGGTTGGCAGCAAAGAGCACTTCGACCTGAATACGTTCAGTAAGAGTTCATGAGCAATTACAGATAGTGACTCACATCTTGAAAGACTCCTTTCAAACTTGCTAATGACGGTCCATTCTCAAATGTTTGAAGATCTTCCTCAAGAGCAGAGACAGATAGCGCATGTCTGAAGATATCCTCGTCCGCAGATTGAGTTGTCTGCGGGGTGTCAAGTCCGCCTTGGAGAAGAGGTAACACCCTGTCACCTCGATCAATGCTTTTGCTCCAAAGTTTCCAGGCCTTTTCTTTGCCTTGGAAAGCCAAGCAGATACTCCCACTTGGTGAGAAAGCCTGCAAACATATTGCGCACGCAAGTCGAACAATGGAGGAGGCCGAGCATTGAGCTTGTTCCTTGAGACTCTGGAACTTGTGATGCTGGAAGAAAATAACCTCGGCAGACCTCGAGGGTGGGCGGGGAGTGAGAGAGGCTGAAGGTGTCATTCTTCAATTTCAAGTCTTCCTCGTTGACTTAGAATTGCAACTGGCAATAGAGGAAATAGAAGTTTGACAGTAAGCTGCTGTGAACTAAGGTCTCTGTAGATATCGATAATTCGCAGAGGTTTTTCGAATGTACAGGATGGTGGTAGACCGGTTTGGGGGCCGGTCATCCAACTCTTAAGACTCCTGTCTTTCGACTCGTCTTTGTCGGTGCAAGAAAGATAGATGAACGCGTCGACCGTCGTTCTGGGGCACAGAGAGCACATCATTTCCGAGGTTCGACTGCGCCCCAAGAATGAAAATCTCTTTAACAGGCTGATTTCATCATCATAGCATCCGATTTTGCCTCTGCAAGGGGATGGTCACACACGCCCAGCGTATTGGGGCGTAAGGATGGTGGTTGCCTCGCCTCCATCCTGTTGCGGGACAAGCTTCATCACATCCTTCGAGGTTCCTTGCCGATACTCCCTACTAACCCTTGGTGAGCAGACGACAGTCTCATCAGATTCTCCGCAGTCACCGAGCTAATTTCAAGAAATGAGGTAAGACTACGGGCGATTCGTCAGCACCGTGATTGCCGGAACACCGCAGCCTGGAATATTGGGACCCACGCCGTATGAAGGGCTCGTCACACAAGGAGGCTATTGAGAAGTTAGAGGCCAATCGAGACCATCGGGCACAGATGACAGGAACTTTTTTCTTGAACATGTACAGCCTCTGTCCGTGCTGTTTCAGGGGAATGGTCGGGATGCTGATCCATCCACGTCAATCTAGCCATATCCCTCGGGCGAGATATGTGTTGACGACAGGCTAACGTACGAGCGAGACTAGTTACCGAACGGGAAGTAAAAATCAGTTTTGAGACACGAAATTGTGTTATTTATCACAAACTTCTCGTGCTTATTATGCTTGGTAGAAAATTCCAATGATGATATCGACTAAATAAGTTGTCATTGAGACAAGTTGTGATTTGCCTGAAGTAGGCTCACCTTGAATCTCAGATGGGACGGCAATGCAGCCTTACCATGTCGGTAGTGACCGATTGCAGCTGCAATAATACGCAGGTCGAGGGTGGGGCATATTATTCTTCTCTGAATGTTGGTCTCGGCTAGAAAGCGAATTCGTTCTTCGTCTGCGGGCGTTGCGAGTCCTCTCTGACGGCTTGTCGCTTTTGGACTAGTTAGGAAATCAGATGGGATCTGTCAACCGAAGTGGGCATATGGAGACGAGGGCCATACCATAATAGCCTTTACCTTCTCTGGAAGGTGAGAATTAGTCGCACTTATGCGATTCGGAAGTCCGATCCTGCCAATCAACTGGAAAAGCGACTGGAAGCTTTCACCAACTTCCAAGCTGTCGGATGCAATCGAAAGGACTCATTTTGTTGCGTTCCCAACAGACCTGGTTGAAGGATGAGACCACTGATCAGCAGCTTCCTGTTCTGGTATCTTTCTGTCTAGGATGAGAGTCTTTTCCTGAGTGTTTCTTCGTATCTGACTGGGCTGAACCACAGTTGCGCCGCAAGGATTGACGCTAAGAGTTGTGCAACCCATGTCAACCCAATGATGATGGAGATCACAAACCCAAGGCTATCCTCGGGTCTTGGGAGTGCTGCATTTTGCCTCATATTTCCTCAATGAGCGCTTACCCTAGACACCAAGCTTCCCGGATGTCTGTCCGGCAACACACAACCCCTTGGCTGTCGGTCATGTCTGGATCCAGGATGCTCAACCGATAGGAACGATGGAACACCATTACTAGTGGGTCGACCCCTCCAGTTCGTCCAGACTGCAAGTCTAGATCACCGAGATTTGTATTGTAGCGTAAGCACTGTCCCGGGCTGGCTTTCCCGAGGGCCGGGATGCTGGACGTGCTAGTCAAATGTGACAGGATTCATGAGAATGAGAATCAATCCCAGTCAGCTCTTAGATTTTCAGCGGTGAATTGCTACCTCATCGCGACATGGCATTAAAAATGTTTTTGTTCACATTTAGGAATGTCTGGCGCCATGATTTCTGACTGTAGCTGCCCTCGGCACGACACCCCGGGTTCACATGCAGACTTCGCCTCGCACTCTCGTGCTTTTGTCCGTACATTTACTGAAAACCCCCCACATCGAGAGTTTTCTTGAATATCAGTTATACTCATATGTCTCATGATGGCGCCATTTGAATCAGAGAAGACAACAATGGTTGACATTGGCCAGAACGATTCCTTGCCATCCACCTCAAGCAGCTCGAACCGCGGCTCTATCACCGGAGAACCAGGCGTCATCGTTGACAAAAAAAGTAACAATGCACTATCGACTGTTGAGAAGCCTATAGAAGCCGAGGAAGCGGCCAACTCGGACGAAGCCGACGATGCCGGCGTAGATTATCCCAAAGGCCTTAGGCTGGTTTTGATAATCTTTGGACTGGCCATGGCTGTGTTCTTGGTCTTCCTTGACATGACGCTCATTGCTACCGCTATTCCGGCTATCACGAACCAATTCAATTCTCTCCAACATGTTGGATGGTATGGCTCTGCCTACATGCTCAGCGCAAGTCAATCTTTCATGAGTCTCATCATTCCCGCTAACAAACATTAAGCTTTGCTCATTCCAACTCGTCTACGGAAAGTGCTTTGAGCTCTTTTCACTCAAGTGGACCTTTATGGTGGCCATCGCATTCAGAGAAGTCGGATTGGCTGTCTGCGGAAGCGCCCCTAACTCAATTGTTTTCATTGTTGGACGAGCCATCACTGGGATTGGCTGCAGTGGCATCATCATCGGCGCCTGGGTAGTCCTCGCACACAGTGTACCCATTCGTCAACGTGCTGTCTACACTGGATTTCTCGGCGCATTCTCAGGAGTCGGTGGCATCATCGGACCCCTTATTTCCGGAGCGTTGACTGACAGCCATCTCTCCTGGCGATGGGCGTTTTACGTTAGCATACCACTCGGAGTCGCGACGTTGGCATTGATCTTCTTCTGCTTTCGTCCACCGCAGCAGCCCGACCATAAACATCCTAGGACTCTCAAGCAGAAGCTCATGGAGTTTGACATTCTCGGACTCTCAATCTTCTTTGCTTGCATGATCTGTCTATTATTGGCCCTGCAATGGGGTGGATCCCAGTTCGCTTGGAACAGCGCCCCGATGATTGGATTGTTGGTTGCCTTTGGTGTTCTGCTCATCGGTTTCATTGGTGTTGAAATGTGGAAAGGAGACAACGCCGCCCTGCCTCCTCGCCTGATGAAGATGCGAAATATCGCATTCGCTTGTTTCTACGCTGCATGCGTTGATGCAGCCTACTACACAGCTGATATCTGGCTGCCAATCTGGTTCCAGGCTATCAAGGGAGAGTCTGCCAGAGAATCCGGCATCAAGCTCGTTCCCTATGTTGGCGGAGAAGTTCTTGCCGCTCTAACCGCCGGTTACCTTGTCACTTTCACAGGGTGGTACAACCCCTTCATGCTTATAGCGACCGTTTTGGGGTCTTTGGGTCTTGGCTTGATGACGACTTTTGAGCTCGACACCGGTCCGAGCAAATGGGTCACTTTCCCCGTAATCGCCGGCGTGGGAATTGGTCTGGGATCCCAGCAGCCGATGATGGGTGTCCAATCGACCCTCGCACTCTCTGATATACCTGCTGGTACAGCTGCTGTCACTTTGTTCCAGAATTTAGGGCCAGCCATCCTGATGTCTGTCGCGAACACCGTCTTTGCTAATGGTTTAACAAAGCATCTGCATGGCACAGGAGGACTTGATGGCCAAACCATTGCCGACATGGGGGCTACGAATCTGAAAGATATGATTCCGCGGGATCTACTTCCGGCTATCATTGAAGCATATAACAAGACGCTTAAGGAGACTTTTACGGTGCCGATGGCTGTCGCGGTCATCTCCATCGTCGGGGTTCTAGGCATGAAGTGGGAAAAGTTGCCTGGATAGGTCAGCCCCCTCTCACAATGTCGCATCCCGGATAATATGGCTGAGTTACACGAAAAATACTATTGCTTTCAAATTTGTTTTAGCTTGTGGATAGTTGATTTAGTCCCATTTACCTACTGGAACGAGATCGATGTCTGTGAAGGTAACCACCCTTGGTTTTGTGAGGGTAAGGCATCTACGTGACTAAGAACCCATAACTTAACTACAAAGGTATTATGATAAAGATAGGCGATTGGAGTCTCTACGTTTCTTAAAGTCTTGAGTTTAACTTGAATTTGTTGTCATATTGTCTGTTATATAGGCTCCAAACTGGGCGCTTTTGCTCATGCATTTCGTCTTTGTTGCCAGATGACTGACATCACTTCCGAATCCCGTCCTTCTAGTTCTGAACTCTAGAAGCAATACCTGCAATTCATTCAGTAGTCAGAAGATAGAACTACTTTAGCAGGTGGTTGTCTTAGTACTACAAGATCTAGGGTGTTTGAAGGATAGTCTGTCTTAAGGTAAGTAGTTTCCAACGGGATGTAACGGAACGCTTCACAAGAGGATGGTATCCAAGTGGAGAGTATCGTACTCAGACCTAATCACAGCCTGTCCCAGGAAAGGTCCTGGATGGTAATAGAGGCTGACAGATCTAGAGCATCAAAAAGGACTTTGGTCGAATGAGACGAAAGATATAACCGAAAAGAAATTTTCCTAGCGCTGAGTAGGAATACCAGTAAGACTCCCAACAGGATGTTGCCAAAGTGAACCAACACAAATCTGACAGGTGAGATTCCTCTTAGGGAAAGATGGAGCATTTCGGCAGGGTTGTTCCGCGCGTTAGCTGCCGTTGGTCCAATACGCATGTTATCAAGCAAACATGTTTGCTACTCATCATAACAGGACTGGCCCCGGCATTATTGCCTCACCCGTCCAAACTTCTGCCTGGATCGTTTAGCCAATGGAAGAAGGAAGATCAAGGTATAAACCTGCTTATCTTCTTCAGCGGCCCTGTCGAAACGGGTCATTCGTGCCCACCTCCTCTAGGAGAGTATCACCTTTCTCCACAGTGTGGCATATTGCCTTCAAGGGCTAGCAGGGTCTGGGGTATACAAGAAATGTATTTAAGATCTGTTCAGTCCGACAGATTAGGGGACATTCAGGGCCGAAGAGCTTCACCTCAGAATCATCGATACTATCAACATGACGCCTCTCTTCCGAGCTGATCAAGTCGGCTCACTCATTCGACCTGCCTTCCTGCTCGAGGAAAGAGGTTCTTTGGGCTTTTACGACAGCAAGTTATCCGAAGACCAGGCCGCTGCCACATCTGCCTCTATCAAATACGCGGTTCAGAAGCAAATTAAGCTCGGCATTAGGCCCATCACCTCTGGCTAATATGAGAGAACTATTTTCTTCAGCGGCTTGTTTGAGAATCTTCAGGGGATGACAGTGAAAGATGACCTCAGGGTTCCTCAAGACTTCCGACCCAACCTGCCAACCTTCATCTGGCTAGCTAAGATGGGATAAAATCACTTCTCTGCCGTACCCGCGACAGGAAAGATCAAATTCGTGGACTCGGCTTACGTTCTCGCCTGGGACATGATCAAGAAGACGCTCCCTCAAGAACGCTGGAAGGATTGTAAGATGTCCATACCGTCCATCTCCTGGCAACACATGTACCTTGCAAACGGCACAGCATTTTCCCCTGGGGTTTACACCTCTGACAAGGACTACTTTATCGACTTGGCGGCAGCATTTCGTTCAGAGATCCAAGCTCTCTATGACGCAGGTCTCCGATCGATACAGGTGGATGACCCGAATTTGACTTTCTTCGTCACCAAGGACTTTCGGGAGGGTCTTAGGGGCGACGGCGTTGACCCCGAAGCATTGCTGGATCTCTACATTTGGGCGCACAACCAAGTTCTGAGAGATCTACCAGCTGATCTGCATATGGGCATCCATCTTTGTCGCGGCAATATGCCTGGTCAGCCATCCTTTGCCAAAGGATCCTACGAAAAGATTGCCGCCAAGGTCTTCCCCAAGCTCAATTATCAGACATTCTACCTAGAATTTGATGACCCTCGAGTATCTGGGCACTTTGAGCCGTTGAGATTTGTTCCGCAAGGAAAGAACGTGGTTCTTGGTCTCGTATCGACGAAGGTTGCAGACCTTGATAACAAAGATGCATTAGTGAGGGTCTATGAGGCTGCTGAAGTCATGGCGAAGGGGCAGAGACGGAACGTCTCAGATGTGTTGGCAGATTCACTCGCTGTGAGCCCCCAGTGTGGCCGCGCTAGCTTCATTATCAACCATGATGTAGCTACTGAGGACAGAATGTGGGAAAAGCTCGTCCTTGTGAGAGACGTGGCGAGGTCTATTTGGGAAGATGCCGTTTAATTAGGGTTTGCGCTCCATGTCAATTCTGTATTGATGTCCAACGCAACCATTTATCGAACTAAACACCTAAGATAAGCAACATTTACTCGGAGACTTCAGACTGTAATTGAGTTTGTTCCGACTGCGATACACCTGGGCATGCGGCGCACAACCTTCAGAGACGTTTGATCTCGGGCCATGACGGGATGGCAGTTTTAACACAACGTACTTAGAGTATCAGCGCAGGCGGTGACTTCAAACTTGAATGACAAAAGAAAAATGACGATGATGGCCTCGAATGGTACTGTCTCTAGAATCTCATTTAGTCTGTAGCACAAACAAACATTACTGATCCCAAGTCTCAGGGTGTAGCTTAGTCCATAATGATTTGAGATCGGAGGCGGCGTTCCAAACAAGCGCCGAGGCCGAGATGGAAGGTGGGCCGCGGAGCCATGTCCCGGACAACAACCTTTTCGATGGTCGTACTTTGGGATCCGTCCCTCATTCGCAGTTTTTCTTAAGAGTACTTCATTCTTAGAATACCCTGTATCATTGAGAGACCCGAAACCGAGCAAGATGGGGCACGAAGAGAAAATGGGCGGATCGCAACGCAGATCAGCGCCTTAAGGGGTCAAGCCTCCATGCCCTTACACCAACCTCGATTTGTGCGTTGGCGGCCACCTTTGGCCAGCGACTGACTATTTGATTTTTTTATGTCAAATATTTAATGTTACCATGTCTTTGAGAGAAGAAGTCGTCTTACCGATTGGGGTGGACTAAAAACGGAGATGCACTACAGAACTCCGAAGCAAGGCTGACCTGGGCCCTAGCCCTTGACATTAACCAGAGGTTGAAGCGAATCAGGTAGCTCTAAGTTAGGTAATCATATGTGCTGAACTCAAAAGTCCAAAATCCCAGTCACGTCGCAGGCAAGTTCAATGTGTAAGTCCCCAGTGGAAGTTGAGTTTGAAGTCGATTGTGTATCCGATACTCAAAGAGCAGCAAGAACAGACCTTATGTAATCGTGCCGATACTGCAGGGATACCCCACCATGGTTGCGCGACAGGGATACAAGGTAGGTACTTGCCCCGCGTATCGAAGCTCCCCACCAAAAATCAAAGCTATCGCGATTGACTTCAAGACAATTCCGACGTCACTTTGCCATTCCGCGCGCCTGGCCGAAGAACGCATCTCCATTTCCTCGAGTCTCCTCCGCCGAACACGAACCATGGCGACTATCGGAAGTCTCCAGCGCATCACTGCTGACAAACTCTCCGCTCTTCTATTGGCAGAGCAGGCTGCAGGCACTTCGTCTGTGGCCGTCGTTGACGTTCGCGATAATGGTTAGCTCCTTTCCTGTCCCCGACCAAGCAATCCGCTTGATTGCACTGCTAACCTCTATTCTTCCCATAGACTACCTCGGCGGTCATATCAAAGGATGTATCAATATGCCCTCTAGAAGTCTCGATGCTAGGATGCCCACCCTCATGCGCCACCTCGAAGGCAAGAAGACGGTCGTATTCCACTGCGCCTTGTCACAGCAACGAGGACCCAGTGCTGCCCTTCGATATCTCCGAGAGCGCGACCAGACTCTCGCCTCCAAGGCTTCCTCTGGCTCGGCCGAAGACTCGGCAGCTGCGGAGCCACAGACAGTATACGTTCTGGTTCGCGGATTCGTCGGTTGGCAGGAAACTCACGGCGACGACGAACGATTGACCGAGGGATATAGCAAGGAACTCTGGAAAGATGGCTATTGGATGTGAACTTCTACAATGTAAATTCCATGCTCCCAAGTCACTGCGTGTCTAGGAAACGAAGTGCTTGGTTACTCATTGAGGGCTTGCTCGGTCTTCCGGGTGCGACTCCGTGTCTCATGGCCCATGGTAGCCATGTCGTACCGGCTTGCATAGAGGATGTCTGCCTTGAATCCCTGAGATCTAGCTCTTTCAGGCCAAGTGGTGATATGAGCTGAATCCCAAAATTCGTTCTGCTCAGTGATTGGAATAGGCTGGTAAAGGTACATCAGATAATCGAATGTTTGATGTCAGAACTCGCGTTTCTCGCCTTTGAGACGTGTCATTGGATTAGAATCTGGCGGTCTTATCTTGCGATCTCGACCACGTTCCGTCAACAAGAATCTCAAGACATGCACTCTACTCCTAGGCCAGTCCTAAAAGTCTGCAGGAAGCAAGTTCTAAGTCCACTTAGGGATCTGGCGACGAACTTAAACCTGTTATTAAGGTCCCCCTATGCTTCTGACTTCCTTTAGTGCCCGGAAAGGAGACCACCAAGGTGCCTTAGTGAACATGCTTAGACTTCAGGATTTTTGGTGTCGATCAAGGTACACCAAACCTTGAACTCATTCAACGGAGTAACATCAGCTCGTGCTATATATAAGGTATGTTCACATTCTATCCACTCGAGTTTGTACGTCGGAATCCCTCTACCTTACATCATTTCACCACACCACCTAGACTCACTCTGCAAGCCCGAAACACATTTCTTCAGTGCTCTCACTCAAAGATCATCAGACCAAGAATCCTTCACTAAAGGTTCAGCTCTATTATAACCACCACTGAGAAAGAGGCAGTCGCTGTGCATATCACGGGAGAGGCAGGTTGGATTATTGTCGCAAGCGTTGCAATGCTGACCTCTGAATCGTGGATTGCATTTGTTACTCATGCTGTTGTCGTTGGTGTTAAGAGCCCAGCCCTCGTGTGGCCACGTAGGGGTGATTTCTGTATATAGAATCTAAGCTGACGAGAAGAGATTTACAAGCGGAGCTTCCGCGGAGGTGGAGCGTAGGCGTAATGGAGCCCGCGCGGTCAATCGTGGCAGAATATCCGGGCGCTGGCCCGGATCCATTAATCGGGTCCAGCCCGTAACAGTTGGTGAACAGGACGATCGATTGGCAGGTGACAAGCTCTCGTTTGCTCAATTCGCAGCCATCTGGTGTCTGACGTTTCTCGGATTTTATCATCCTTTCGCCGCCGATGCTAGCCTATTGCATCGTAATCCTTTGTCTGGCAATCGTCGCTATTGTCCCTGGCTTCCTCTTCAGATCATGCGTTGAACCAGTCTGTGGTCCTTTCGCTTGCAGCAGAACTGTAACCGCGGCCGACGTCTTGTTTGCTGCCTTCTTCCCATGCCATTATGTCCTCGATTCCTGGCTGAACTACAGCATGTGGTTCATCGGAGACGAATGGAAAGACTCAAGCTCCGCGGAAGCATTAGCGCCGAAACCTCAGGATTCAGAGAAGGCAGTCGAACACAGAAGCGGCAAGCCAAACTTGAAATGATCGAGGTAAATATAATACACTTTCCCTGACGCAGTCTTCAGTAGGTACTTGGCTGACGGCACTCAGAGCACGAGACTTTCCGACAAATCGACATGTACACTTCGGCAAAGTGTACCTAAGATCCATCATCCTTAGAATTGAGCAAAGGTACATTTCAATCCAGTTCGGCATTGGCGATGGAGGGCTTCTAAAAGGCACATTTCTCGGACATGCTACCTTCCAGTATTCATTCACCCTATGAACACGAAATTGCAATCAGGCCAAGTGTCGGCCCCCCTAGTCAGTCGACATTGAGTATTAAGTACCTTAGTAACATTAACACTTTTCTTCTAGTCTTGTGGCCAAGTACCTGAGTATGAGTGTCGTGCCATCTTTATTGACTCCACATTTGAGTGATGTGCATTGTCAAGTCTGGCATATCGCCATCCGGCCAAGATGCCATGCTTTCTCAGTGGCGGATGGAACGGCAAATCTTTTGATTCCTAGTCGTGCTAGGGGGACTTGCATCTCCAGATCCTCGCTCTTACCCCAGGGCCCAAGGCGGAATTCGGCTTCGCCCCTGTCACCTTATTCGCCTTGGCCACGTTTCGAACTCGAGCCAAGCCATTGGCATCCTCGATTTCCGGGGATTTCAGCCAGTGTCTAGTGTGCAAAAGCGTCACAGGATCGGTTATAACTTAAGCCTGATCATGAGATGCATCCACGGTGTCTGAGCGATATATCCAGCCACAACTCTACTCGTGAACACAAGTCCCGACTTGCATCACAATTCCATAGACTCCACGGGAATACGGCATCACGGTTCGTGTTTGTGAGCCAAGAGACCAGTACTAGCACGCATTCCTTAGTCTTGGGTAGAGTAGCTGTTTGGCCCACACAACTGTTGACTTCGGCCAGACTGGAGGTGAATGAACCCTTAATTTTCTCAACTTCACTGTTCAATGATCGACATGCTCAAGATCGACTTGGCGGGGCCGCTTCCAATAAAACCTTGGCTTTGAATACAGATCAAATCCTACGTACCCTAAGTACCTCGATTCCATGAAATGGTCGTGTCAAACAGTCAAATGCTAAACCAAACACCGATTGCAGGCCATGAAGCAGGCGTGTTTCTTGTGCTACATATGCAGTCTCCTTCATTGGTGGGACTGTCAATTATCTCCAAGTGTCAGAAAGGGAAGGCTTTGAACTGTCCTTGGTTCGGATTTCATTTCTGCGCCGACAATGACTTTCAGGATTCCAAGCCTTCAAAACAGGAAGCTGCGTAAATCATCCAAGCATTCAGGCAGCCATTAAAATTTCCCGCGACTCAAAACTCATTGTAGGTGCCTTGAATTAATGAACCAAGAAATCATAGTATGAAGTAATCTGACCTTAGTCACAATGATCAATGCGAGCCATCTCGTGGAAATATACCGCTCATTGATGACGCTTCATAGTCTCCGGACTGAAATTTCTATAAATTCTCTCCATCGCAATCATTGTTAGGACGAGAATGCCACATCCAAAGCCCGGCTTTTTACATCTTGAAGCTTTTTACATCAGGTTCAACATCATTTAGACCAATGCTTAGCAAGATCGGAGTCCTCGCCGCCGCTCTTCTCGAGGCCCTTCCCACGACCTTAGCATGTTTGGGGTACGAGGGCGGTTTGCCCAAGGCCACTTCCAACAAGCACTAGTTCCTAGGGTAATCGATAAGTATAATTATAAGATAAATAGGGTTAATATGAGTGACTAAATAAGGTCCTATTATCAATATAACCACCCTATTTATCGAGGGGGCTAGCAGTTAATTACCTGGAATTTCCGGCTGGAAGTGGTATGTTACGGCCTAAACAGTTGGTCCTGTCATGGCGTAGTTATATAATGCAGAACAAGGGAAAATGATGCGGAGTCATCATTATCGAAGCTTTTGCTTTGTGCCACAGTTGGTTGCCTTGACCTGCTCGTAACATGGTAGTTATAAATAGCTTCCTACTATCCCATCGGGTGCTGAATAGCTCCATTTTTGCCAAGACCCAAATATCCACCTTTACCCATTATTACCCAGGGGTACTTGACGATACGTCATTTCACCCTATGCTCCTTTACCTATCATCACCGACTGTAATGTAGCTTTATGTATTGAAGGGGACTGCTGGTACTTATGGCATACCCAAAATCTATATGTAATAGAGGTACTTTTACCTTATTGGTTAACTTGTTTAACCTAGAAGCCCTTATTAGCTCTACCCCGCCCTTGGCGAAAGTGCTGTCCATCCCATCCGCACTCCATGGGATAAGAAGCAGCTGCCTCAAAAGCTTATGGGAGCTGTTACTCTCAACGCATCATCAGTACCGAGAGCCAAACTTCAGTAGACAATACCTTACTTCTTAAATATTCAATTGTAAGTAACTCCACGTTCTAATTTATTCACCAAGCTAACCAGATCAGAGTATCGGCTTGCGTGAGAGATTGCATTCAAAATGGTTCAGTTCAATCTCACCGAAGACCAAAAGGCTTTACGGACCAAAGGGGCCGCAGTTGCAAAAGAAGTCCTTGCACAAGCTTACGCGGATTACTCCAAGTACCCAGACCAACTCACGCGATTCCGAGCAACTCGGCCTTACTACGCCAAGTTGGTGAAAGCGGGGTTGCTCAAGGCATTTGTCCCCAAAGCCGCAGGTGGCGATGCGGATACACTCTTGGAAACTGCCTTCCTTTTGGAGGAGCTTTATGCAGTCGAGTCTAGCATTGTAATTCACCTGGTCGGCAGTGCTTTAGGACTATTGCCTCTGGTTCTTGGTGGTACGACTGGGCAGAAAGAGAGGTTCTTGAAGCCATTTCTTTCTGGTGAAGGCGATCCCCTGGCGAGTCTGGCTCACTCCGAACCAGGCGGCACTGCCAATCACCTTGAGCAAGGAGGGAAAGGTCTTGGAGTAACTGCCAGGAAAGAAGGGGATTTCTACATTGTTAACGGCGAAAAGGTAAGAAGCTCACATAATTCAGACCCTATAGCCATATAAGTCTGATCTTGCAATAGCTATGGACGACAAACAGTGCCGGCTGGGATGGCAAAGGAGCCGAACTTACGTGCCTCTGCGCACGCTATTCTGAGGACGGTGGCTCAGAGAAGTCCGACGTCAACCCTGTGGACAACTTGATGGTATTTCTCGTGACTCGAGAGGTCGTGGCTCAAAATACTCCGGAAGCCTTTGAACTTCTCAGCGAGCCTGAGCTTTTCGGGCACATTGCTGTCACCGGTCCCCACACCCGATACACCAACTTCAAAATACCAGCTGACCACGTTCTGTTTGCCCCTGGCAAGGCTGGGCCATACATTGAACAAGCCTTTGGCATCTCTGGAGCCCTAGTCGGGGCCATGGCAGTCGGCACCATGCGCGCCGCTTTCGAAAAGGCACTCGAATTCGCAAAGAACGATCATCGCGGTGGATCTATGCCCATCATTCAGAGACAAAGTCCCGCAGACCTGCTCATCAGTGCAAAGATCAAGATCGATACCTCCCGAATGTTAGTGTGGAAAGCTCTCGACAGCTTGGACAATGGTCCTGGCGACGCCAAGGCTCGATTTGAATCTTGCCTCACAGCCAAGATCTACAGCAGTGACTCCGCAGTCACCTGCGTGTGGGACTGCATGCAAGTGGTTGGCATGTAAGTCACTTCACTCTTTAATTTATTATCTGAACGTATTCTTACCTGACCAGGACCTCATACGCTGAAAGCGCTGGCTTCTCGCGCCTCTTGGCCGATGCGGCCGTTTTCCCCTTGTTTGATGGAGGCAACGTGGGCATCAGACGACGCCAGTTCCAGAAACTAATGTGTGAGGAAGGATATAAACCCTGGTCAAACCTGTAGTCATCATGATAAGAGAGGCACTATTGTTTCGTCATATCTAATCCTGCCTCCCTTCGGAGACTTCTAACACCAATCTAGGCTATGGAGATGACAAACCTCAAGCTGGGGGTCCCACTGTTAGCACACCTTAACCGTCCAGATTTTATCTATTCCATAATAGTGAAAGTATTAAAAGAGAATTTGGCACTACGACGGTCTGGATCCTCAATGGCGGCGTGATTCCTACCGATGTCATTTAAGTTTCATTGCGAGGAATTTATGCGAACAACTACGCAGCGACCGGCCCCCAATACGGCTACACTGCCTTGTTGGCATGACAATATTGTTCTAACTATCTCAAGTGTTCATTTGCATTCCACTTTCACCTACGTTCTGCTTTGAATAAATCAGCCTGTTCCAACCTCGTTCTTGTGTCACCATCAAGAGCACACCTGCAACCCAATCCGAATTCTTCGACAAGTCCGTCGTAATTTTTACTCAAGTCATGGATCCTCATTTGAAAGCCTGGTTCAATCACTCCGTGACCATGACCACCGTATTTTCCGCAGTCGTGCTGGCGGTTTCCTTTATGACGGCGGCTATCGACATGCGCGAGGATAGCATGGCACCAAACCCCCAATGTCCGACCAAACCAAAACTGCGTCTTATCTTCTGGCTTCTTCTCTCAATTATCCAATCAATCATCATGCTTCTCTGGATGGTAGGCTGCGTCTTGATTGTGCCAGTCGCGGTCGTGCAAATAGCTATTTACTGCCCCATCGCGGTCATAGGCTTCGTCATCCAACAGACAAGCGGGCACCATTATGCTGCAGGACTAGCTTCTTACATCTGGGATGCTGCTACTGGCTATGGAGTTGCACCTACAACTTTGAGAAAGCGCTCCCTTGATGCTACGGTCTGGCGTTCAGGTGGTTTTTGGTCGAGACGGCAGTACGAAGACCCCGAAGCACAAGAGCTGATGGACAAGTCTTCGTGCGAGGACGAAAACATAGAATGAGCCATGGAAGATCCTCAAGAGCGCATTTTTGAGCTTTTTAGGGCTTGGCAGCGACGAACAAGTTGTGGGAGGCGCTTGTGTAAGGTTGTTATGCTGAGGAATAGGCCATGGCACGGAATGGGATGTGACGGCTTAGCATCTAGAAAAGTGCAGCAAATGCGTTTGTTCTTCAAACAATGGCGTATAATTTTGTCGCTATTTTAAGGGTAGTAAAAGGCTAGTAGTAGTAGTAGTAGTAGTAGTAGTAGTAGTAGTAGTAGTAGTGGTGGTGGTGGTGGTGGTGTTTTACATCATCAGGAACAGGTACCCAGCTATCTATGTAACTAAGCTCCGATCAACCAGAGCGCTCTTTAGGCATACGATATACCGTACCGCTATAATAGCGTATAATAAGTTAAACAGTCTATAATATATATTTTTCTTCTCGTACCTAGATCAGTGGAATTTGATATTTAATCCCCAGGTTCTGTTTAATTTTAAAAAGCACGCTAGTAAGGGGTTCTTAGCTTGGTAGAGACAAATATGTCTCTAATAGCCCTACGCTATGTATAAATAGTATAGCCGTAGTAGAAACCCTACCTTTATAGGTATAGTTATCTATAAGAGCATTTTTATTTTTCCTATACTATCTCGAGTAAATTAGAAAATAAAAGAGTAAGAAAGAGGGGTATAATAAGGCCAGGGCCTAAAAGCGTCGGTAGGTATATAAGAGAGTTATAAGGTGCGGGATCTCGGACTCGCTATCTTTATAAAGAGTAAGCCTTATAGTAGCGCATTATACGCTCGAACTTCTCAAAAGTACCTGGGTCTTTAACTAGGGCATACTAATAAGCTTCGGCCAGGCCTTTTAGGGGCGGTAGTAGTCCCGGATTATCTACGGTCCTAGTAACCGGCTATAGCGCCGAAGTATGGCGGTTCTTTGTATAATATACTAGATAGGTAGGTAATAATTTCCGTCTATAGTTATATTTAAAGTCTCTATTATGCTAAAAGCGCCTATAGTAGGTATAGAAATAGCTATGGCTAGAACAAGTAGCGAGGAGGTGGTATAAAAGAGGACGCTTGTTACGGCCAGCTAGTCGTAGTGAGGTATGTTTGCAGAAGTTGAGGCTGCGGAACTGGTAACAGTAATAATCGAATGTAATAATGGGATGTAATAATGGGATGATTATTATATATAATTAGGTAGTTTTAGGTTCGTTATATCTATAAGGTAGGTAAGACTTTAGTGATTAATTATAGTCTTGTTAAAGAGGTTCTTAGGAAAGATAGTTGAAAGCGATCGTAAGATCTAATATGAAGTTAATTACTAAAGAAGCTATGAGAAGTCTGTCTTAGAGCCTTGGCTCGAGTCTATCTTATATATAAATCCTAATTCTAAATGTATCCTTTATTTCTTAGGTCACCCTAGATTATTCTAATTTAGAATAATCTTTTGGCCCCTAAGTTATATTACTAAGAGGTTAGAGGTAGGCAAAAAGAGAAAAGGTAAATAAGTTGAGGTACGAGTTGGGATAATCAGAAAATCAATTGTATTAATGATTATTCTATGATATGGTGGGAAAGTGTAGTCTATATATAATATAAATATCATATGTAATCATATGTAATCACATGTAATCACATGTGATGCTTAAGTCCGAGCATTAAGTTTATACGGGCATATGTGCCTGTCGGCGCTTTAACATGTATATGTAAAGCGTATTTACGTACGGGCTGTACATGCGTAAAATGTTACGAGCAGGACAAGGCAACCAACTGTGGCACAAAGCAAAAGCTTCGATAATGATGACTCCGGTCATCATTGTCCCTTGTTCTGCATATATAGCTACGCGCCCACAGTGACAAGTTGCGGCGGGCGTAATAAAAAAGCGTTGTATCTCACTAGATGCGTACTTCAGTTGAGCCTCTTATTACCATGTAACTTCTTAAGCACGTAACTCCTATGATACCTATATTTATAAATTATAAATATATCGTTAAAATCGTGGAAAATCAATAAGTCTAGATACATTTATGAAACATCTATAGCCCTTATATTCATTAAGATATTAATATTTATTTCTTATAGTTATAAGGTAGCTATTAATATACTAATTAACTAGCTTCTGGCGCTATAGAAGGAGCCGTAGGCGGCCGGAATACTTAAATAGGTAGAACTTACCGGAGACCTCGTAATTAAAGGAGATAATAAGCATTTAGATATTAGAAATCTAGTTAGGGCTAGGCCTAGCGACGTACTAATCCCGGGGAGCAAAGCCGGTCTGGGCCTTAATTTCTTTAATAATGACGCTTCTAGCCTCTGTTTAGAGCTCTAGGAGGTTATGGGTATTGAGGTAGGCCTATAAGACCTTAATTAGGCAGCGGGGGACGAGATAGGTCTACTATTTTAGAGGTAGGTCGATATTATTAACGTTAAGATAGCGCTATAATTATTATTTTTTCTAAAGGAGCTTTTACTTAACTTCCTCCGAGCTAGGGTATATAAAGAGGCCTATAGCGGTGTGTTTAACGTCTATAATATCTAATAAGGGTAGGCTAAGGTCCTATAAGATGGCCTATTTAAGTAAGAAGGAGTTATATAGTTAGGTTTTAAGGAGCCGTTCGGTTTCGATACGGACCAGGAGCTAAAGATCCGGGCCCGAGGCTACTTAGTATAGGCCACTTATAGGCCGGGGCATATTAGCTAATCGGCCCTAGGCGGCCGTACTAGCATAGGTTATACATATCCCTTCGGGTCTAGGTCGGCCCGGACTTAGGAAGAGGTAAGAGGTGAAGCTTTAGATAATAGACCGCGTAAACGGCTTCAGCTCCTTATTATAGAAGGTAACGATATTATCTAGTACCGTAATAAGGAGATAGTATATTATATTATATTCAAATTAAGCTACATTAGCGGGTTATAGTGCCGTAGCGGTAATAATAGTGGGTACTTTACTTCCCTACAAGGCACGAGGACGGGTTAGGAGGGGCGCCATTAGGCGCTATATCGGCGCACATAGGTATAAAGGAGTTAAGTAAAGGTCCGGTAATAAGCTAACGGTATAGTAAGAGCCTATAAGGCCTTTCTAAGGTCGTGTAGGTAATACGCCCGTATCTGGCTATAAGGCCATTACGGGCGACGAATTGGTGGTTTTGGGTATAGAAGGTGGTATTAGTAGGTGGGTGTAGGCCCCGGCAAGACACTAACAGTGGGTGTCTCACTCGGGTGATGCGTGCGGGAAGTGTCTTCCGGTGGTAAAAGGCTGACACGAAGCTTTTGTATCTACTCTCGGGTCTGACTTCGCGCTTGTGCGGTGCATAGTTGAAGAAAGAAGCTCATTCTACAAGAGCAATTCTTGGTTCATGAGCTAAGTAATTATATTAAGTGATTAGATGAGAGTATAAAGCAATCAACTGAACTCCTCGCTATGCAAAATCCATCATTTTTACGTCACAGCGACGCCCCCAAACACAAATTCACAAGATGGCAATCTTTTTGCCGAACATCCAGGTCTTATCGAAGCCCACTATCAAAAGGGAGAGCATTCTCGCCATGCAGTTGTCTATAGTCATCCCAAGCCGCGCAAACCTCGCGTACGTCGTCAGGGATCTTACTTTGCTGAACTTTCTTTGGCTTGACCAAGAAGTTGATATAGAGACCAACGCTAGCATGCCACGCAGTATGGCAGTGGAAACTCCAAATGCCCGGGTTTTTGGCTTCGAACTGCACAACAAGATTGCCGTTACGTCGGAGAAGTTCCGTGTCGGCGCGGGCCGGATTCTTAGGATACTTCAGACTGCCGTTGTAGAACCCGTCTGATTCGCTCAGGATCTGGAAGTCACCGCCGTGAATGTGCATCGGATGGATAGAGAAATGGTTGTTGAGGATAACACGAACATGGCGGACATCGTCAGGAATCGTGGCCAAGATGTGTTGGGGGTCCTTGAGATACTCGGCATGGCCATCTACCGCCTCGATGTACAAAGGACGGCTCCAGTCGGCTTGGAAAGTGACGTTGTTCATCAACCATTCATGGTTGCCGCTAGCGTTGGCTCGAAATTCGATGTCGTAGAGCAGTGTCAAGTCGGGCTTAGGAACACGCTTCTTATAAATCGGCTTTTTCAAGTGAAGATCAGGCTACAAAGGTAGCGTGGGTTAGCACGACGGCTTACTTGGAGGGGATATAGAACCGAGTGAGTACTTACATCACCACATGTCGAAGAGAAGTTTGGCAGAGCCGCAACGGTCTTGGTGGCTGGCACAATCGTGGAAGGCGTTTCGTCGTAGAAGACAGTGCCTAGTGTCTCGTTGACTTTCGTGGCAGCACATTGGATTCTCGAGCGCATGTAGTACGACCGCGTCGGGTCTCCATTTCCCTTTACGAGAACTTCAGCCCTCATGCCGACGCCGAGGATGATGTACTCCACTTCGTAAGGCTCTACGGGCACGAAGTCCATTGTGGTCACAATGAGCTTGTGGCCGTCGATGGAAAAGATCTGCATAGCTTCGACACTTGTGTTGATGAACCGGAGCTTGTGCACTTTGCCAGACTTGAATCTCAACGATGCGCGTGGGGCATTACTCTTGCAGGTCGTGTTTGCGGGAGCCAATGAGCAATTGAAGTGATTCATTCCGTTGATCAAGTGGTTGTTCGAATTGGGGGCGTAAACACTGGTATCGTTACTGGTCGATATGGCATCCGAGGCAATCTTCTCGTAAGGGTAGTGATAATAATCGGAGAGTGTAACAGGTCCTAAGTCGAGATCGTATTTGACGTGAGAAGGGCCGTAGATAACCATAGGACCCCACAGCCCTCCACCATACTGCAGTGCGTGATGGCCATGGTACCAAGTCGAGCCATACGTGCTGGCTCTCCAGCGATACGTAAAGCTTCCACCAGGTACAATGGGGCATTGCGTGATACCGCTGACTCCGTCCATGAGCCCAGTCCCTTGCTGGTGTATGCTACATACAACGTAAGCATGAAACCTCTCAAGGTTGTGTCGTTATTAAAGGTTGTTTACTTACCCATGCCAATGCATTGCTGTGCCTTCTTCCGGACCCGTGATGTTGTTGTGGACGGTGACCTCGACAATATCCCCCCAGTTGGCCTCAACGAGGGGCCCAGGGAACTGGCCATTGACAGTGAGAAGTGTCTGTTCTACAGGCGGTGATTATGATCAGTCACTGACCCAGAATAAGTGGTGAAAGTACTCTGCCTCGCTAGATCGATATGGAGATCGTCTGAAGGCAAAGTAAATACTGATGTAACGTACCAAATCCATCCGGTGCCAGGACAGCCCGTTGTATCGTCCATTCGTATTTTCGTACGACGCCAGTGTCAGGCACATTTTCAGGATCAGATTCGCATGTCCGGTTACCCCACGGCGGGCTAGCTTTCTTCTCGCTTGATTTGGCCCCCAGATATCGGGGCAGGCAGGTTGGAGTTGGCGCAGTTGTGGCAATACTCGCCGCAGTCCCCGAGAAGGCATGCACTGTATGCGTGATGCCCGAAAGGAGGCCGCACAACCTTGAGTATGTTAGTGCTGACGGAGAATAGGCACGGGTGGACATAGAACGTGATACCTCAAGGCCGTCAATACTGAAGGCTTCATCTTGCTGTCGAAAGCAGAAATCAAAGGCAATGATAGTTGGGTCTGGTAAAAGTGACAGTCAAGCGGACCAAAGAATGCGACCTAGATGTCTGCGTACGACTTATAACTGATGCATCAGAACTAACAACACTGCCATCTCACTGTGCAGTTCATCTATTTGAGAAGGGTCTCGACGGAATCCGTCGAAGCGCCTAGCCGGGCGGCGACATTCATGACCCCGGCGCATGGGGTTAGTTTGCCCCAAAGACTCACGCCAAGGGTAAAGAGAAAATAGAAAGCCGGAATCCCAGGGTCGTACGGTGCTTCCGAGGTGGCACGCTCGTGGCTTTCCCGTCGGGTTGGGCTGAACGTTGAACGACTGGAGAAGACGTCGAGCTGCATGTGGCTTGAAGCTGAAATGCCAACACTGGAGGAGTTGCCGCACGCGGTCAACGCCACAATACCTGACATGCATGGTTGCCATGCCGCTAAAGCACGGATCTGCCGGTACGCTCGTATACAACTGGTTTGCCAGTTTGCTTAATTTGATATTACCTACCTTATCCAATGGAGCCAGGGTCTGCTGCTGTAATACTTGTTTGCTGTCGAACTGCAATTTGCCTGACAATGAGTTGTTGCCGACAAGTTATATCCCTTACTGCAGCATGTGTGCTTAGATGGTCTCAGGCACCCTCGATTTCTTGAATTCTGGTCTCGGAAACTTATTAGCTCTGTGTCACTTCCGTCGAAGCGTGGCACCGCAGGGCCGGGTCTAGGGCTGTGGAACGAGCTAGGCTGACTAGATCAAGTTGAGCGAGTCAACTGACCGGCTGCGCAGCGGCTTCTGTCGAATGTTAATGGCCACTAGAACAAAGGATTTAAGGTAGGAGCTAAACGTTGGTTCGCATCGAATGATCTAACCAGAGATGTCAAGCTGATTGCATCCTGCATCGATTTCAGCAAAGAGCTGCCAACTATATTTCAGATGAACTTCTACTTTGGTTTTCTCTGCAGCGAATGGGACGCTTCTTCCAAAGACACCAAAAAAGCTAGCCCATTGGCGCCAAGCTCGAAACGGCTTCGAAGACCCTCTGGCCCGAATTCGTGGTAAGCCACAATAGCTCCGGGGTGCTAGCTTCTCATGCCTGGCATCTGGTGAGGCGACAGCTCCCCGGATTGTCAAGAATGTGCCGCAATTTCCGGGCTCGAATGGAAGGGGCTCGCTATCGGTCTAGGGAAATATGACTGCGGAGATGAGAACTCTTGGGCAGATTTTGATGCTACCGATGTCACGTGGGAGCTGGCGATTTGGGGTTCGAGGGAGCTGAGATAGATACGGTGGCAGGCAAAAATTCGGTCTTTGATCCTGTCTACTCTGAGCTCCCAGGCACTTATCCCGTGATATTCCAATTTAGAAACAAACGCCCTACGCCAACAACCTTGAAATCGAGAAACGCCGCCGAATGCTTTTGCTATTGCAAATGTGCTTTCATCAGATAAAGATGAGGTATCCCTAAAGAAAGAGAAAAGGGGAACGCAAGTGAAAGTCCTAAATCCGCCAGAAGTCCTTCTGTCCAACCTGCTTGATCTTCGCCAGTGCAACCAAAAGACCTCCCAACAGCATGGAAGCGCCAGCGAATAGTTGCGCATAGAGGAAATTGCCGTGATTCAGCCCAACAAGACTCCCGCCAATAGGAGGACCAGCGAGACAAGCAAAACTGACAACGGTGAAGACCATGCCGATCCGGACTCCGAGCTTTGACATGTCCGACGTAACCTCCCCCATGGAGGCCGTGAACAGCGTCTGCACTGCGTTGGCAGTGAAGGCGTAGGCAATGACCCAAACGTAGAGTCCAGCCATGGAGCTCACGGCGATCCAGGCAAAGACGTTGAGGCTGCTCAAGAGCAGTGATATGACGAGTGTTCTGAGAGGCTTGATGCTCTTGTCGGCGAGGTACGGGGGGATAAGTCGACCGATGATGCCCACGGCTGACATGACGATGAGGACAGTCAAGGCTCCACTGTCATCGAGGCCGAGCTTATTGCGACTGAAAAGGGGTACCTGGTGAGAAAGATGTCAGTTCACCAGTTCTGATAGAAATGCAAAGGAGACAGTCGGTGAAGGTACGTACATAATAGTATGCAAAGTAGACGCCCAGCAAGGCGAAGAACATGCCAATGGTGAATAAGAGATATGGCAGTTCCTTGAATGCTGACAGCTCGAGCAGGGGACCACCCTTGCGCGTCGCAGCCTTGGGTCGCGCAATGAGGTAAATGACGATGCTGTCAGCAAGAACCAGGAAGCCCATGGTGCGAAGCGTCCACTGGATTCCCGTCCTTGGAATCATCTCACGGGCGATGATGGTGAAGATGACGGCGCCGATGGGGGCACCGCAGGAACTGATTCCGAGCGCTAGGCCCCGCCTCTTTGTGAAGTATTGCGAGACCAGCCAGACGAGCGCGGTGAAGTGCATGCCGTTGCCAATACCCGTGGCGATGCCTTGTGAGAGGAGGAAGTGCCAGTATTTGCTGGAGAATGAGGCTCCAAAGATACCTCCGACTTGGAAGACGATGCCGGTGATCAATGTGATTCTGAAGTGACCGGCGTCGATGAGTCTGCCGCTCAGTGTTCCCAGTAGGAAAAGAAGGAAAATCTGCATCGACCCGATCCACGAAATATCCGAGGTTGAACTGTCTGGTAAGATTTTGACATATGATGCTTGGAAGACACCAAAGGCCGTAATGAAGCCGAAGCCGTCCAATACGAGCAGAAATGCGACGAGGACTTGGAGCCAGCCTTGGAAACCACCGTCTGGCCCGTCGATCGTGGGAGGTACGAGTTCGGCTTTTTCTTCGTCTGCTTGTAATGATCGTTGCTGGCCTTCGGAAAGACTCTGGCTTTGGGGTCGGACATGATGCTCTTCGTTACCCGACATGATTACTTGGTTGTGGCTGTAGGTTGTGGTGTGGGCGTGGTGGTCGGAAGGTGTCAGTTGATGGTGCTCGTCGTATTGCACGCTTTGGACAATGGGTAGAGGTGGGAGGTCTTTCTCCATCATGGTGATGTGAATAGTAAGCAAGTTGAACTTAGTAGTCTATCGAGCAAAATCGCCGAAGAATGGGAAGCAAGTCGAGGAATGAATATAAAACTCTCGATTGTGGATCAACTACTTACTACAGAAAACGAGGGGTTATCACGTCGACAAAAGGAAACCGAGATTCTCAAGACACAGAATGCTATACCGAGCCATTGGTTCTTTTACGGTAAATCGAAAATAGCTCTCAAAGTCTCCGGATACGGCATGTAATTGAGTTTACCAGACCAGCGCCTCGCTCAAGACGCCGGCGATGCCAGCTCAGCCTGGCTGACTGGGGCACACAGCAGAGATGACCGGAATGCGACGGGCGAACCAACAAGTTCTAGATACTTGATGATGGATCATTTTCCCAGCTTCACGAACCTAAAATCGGATAGGCTTAGCTCGACTACTTAGGCCAAGACTAATCCAGACGTGTCAATCCATTGGCCGGACTGCTCAGGGACTAGTAGCCGACAGCCATGTCAAGCCTCTTCAGCCAAACGACACGGTTAGGGCTAGGTTGTGTTACGTTCCAAAGCCTTCGAACGTGGGAAGTACCTCCACAGATTCATGGAGCCCACCAAGTTCCCATCTGCTCTTGGCAATCAGAGAATCAGGGGACGCACGCGCGAGGACTGGAGAAGCTAAGCATTCGTGCCCATCATGCCGGTATAGCCGGTGTTGATCTAGTCTCATCGCCGACACGAGGTAAGACAATGCCTTTGCCTCAAGCGTGGGACCATCAGGTGTGCTTATTTTGAGTCAAGTCAGGTAAAGTAGTTAGATCATGTAGAAGGGCAACGCGTGACCTCGGCTGCTTCTGCAGGTGCATGCAGACACGGCCACTCCCATGTAACGATGCATACCCGTGGCCAGATTCCAACCTTGGCTTGTGGTAGCTCAGCCTTGACGCCACAGTGCACTGCGATTCAAGCCTGGGCTTCGACAATGGGAAAGTTTCCGAGTAGCGTCGTGAATGCATGCGGCATACTACGAGATATCCAGATGGCATTCTCTAAGGAGGTTCCTGATCCAGGCCAAAGTGAATTTCAAGTATAAGAATCTCAAAGACCGGCCATGATTGTTGTGGATTATTTGCAAACCAGATCATCCTTCTCATATAATACAATCAAGCATCGTTTCCTTTCTCCTTTCTTAAGTTCACTGCCATCATCTTACGGCATACGCCCTTGATATCACATCTCTAATTTCTTCCTCAACCATCAAAATGGCCATCTCAGCAGACACCGTCCCCGTGTCTCCCACGGACGCCAAGAAGCCGGCATCCTCCACCGGGAAGCTCATGGCGAGACCGGTCCTCCAACTCCGTGCTCCGACATACAGACGCCCGAGTCTTGGTTCGGAGCTCAAGAGCCCCCTCAGCTCCATCTCTCCCCTCAGTGTCTCAGACTTGAGAAGCCCCCTCAGCCCCTTGAGGCAGATGCGCGTCGAGTTCTCCGACCTTGAAATCGGTTCTCCCATCGACCCCGTCGATTTGCAGCCTCCTGAACAGACTTTGAGGAGCCCTGTGAGCGCAACCAAGAGTCCCTTCAGTGCTTTCCATAACCCCTTGAGGAACGCCAGCATCGATGCTGTTATTGATGATGTCGTCGAAGGAGGTGAGTTACATGCATCATTCGCGCTTCGAGAGATGTCCAACTAACATTCTGGACGTAGATGCACCTACCATCACAGAGACACTCCCCACTCCTCCCCTTGAGCAGTCTACTGAGCAAGTCGCTCACAAGATTCTGGATGTTCTCCAAGCTTTTGGAAGACACATCATCCCCGAGGGCCAGGAGAACCACGAATGGCTTGGACGCAAGATGTTCCACGGCCGCGTTGAGGAGTACGTCAAGAAGGGAGACTCAGTCAAGATGATCATCCCTGCTTTCCCGTGGAAGAGCATCAACCGCACCGACAAGGTGACGGGTGTTCTTCCCGATCTCGGAGAGGACCTGGCTCTCGCAAGACTCAACGATCTCTGCGTCGAGATTGGCAAGGTCTACACCCACGGTGCCGAGGTCCACATTGCCACCGACGGTCTGGTCTTCAACGGTAAGCCTTTCCACTTCTGTACAGGGATATTCGAGCCCACTCACTAACTTCCCACTCAGACGTTGTCGGCATCTCAGACGATGAGACCTGGGAGTACGGCGCCACTCTCATGGACATGGCCGCCCAAAAGGGCTACGACGGCATCAAGCTCCTCCGCGTCATGGACTTCCTCGGCCTCACCAACGAGAACGAGCCCCTCACCAAGGAAAAGTACATGGAACTCGTCGACGAGAGCCGTAAGACCCTCGAGGCCCAGTTCGGCGACCCAGACAAGGACGTCCGCGCCATGATGGAGACGGACAACGACACGCTCATGACCTACCGCGGCTTCATCCGCTTCCTCGAGACGGACCTCCGCAACAGCCCCGTCGCAGCCCACGCCACCTCGGGCCACAAGTACCGCAAGGTCGTCAAGGAGGTCGCCATGAAGATGATGATGCGCGCCGAGTCCTTCACCAAGATCATCCTCGCCACCTGCCCCGACCACGTCCGGCTCTCCATCCACCCCTCCAGCGGCGCCGTCAAGCTCTCCATGCCGCTGCTGGTCGAGAAGCACAACCCCGACGGGTTCCCCCGTACCCCCTGGCACAGCTCCATCGCCGTCTCCCTGGACGGCGGGTACCGTTCTCTGCACGCCAAGGACGTCCGCGACACACACGACTTGGTCATGAGGGACGGTCGTCCTTGGTGCTTCCGCGAAAAGTCTGAGCTCTTTGATCTCGGCGAGGATGTTGAGATTGAGCACCTGTATCCCACTGGTATCGAGGTGCGTCCTCGCGAGGAGAAGAATGGAGAGGTCAGGCTTGATGAGGCAGCTCGCGAGAAGCTGGTCAAGCTTGCTCAGCTTCAGCCTGTCACCGTTGTCGGCTTTGAAAACGCGCCTGAGTTTGTCGTCGCGGGCCAGGAGTAGACGTAGTACCCGGTCTTGAGCTAGAATCTTGAGGGGAGGGCGGTATTCATTATTGGGGCATCATCAACGGTAGTGTAGCATCAGGCGTTCGTCCACGCCGCCATCAGCATGGAGAAGAGGCAGAGGAATGGGGTTGTCCTGAGGAGAAGGTAGCTTGATAGGCGCCGCTCGCTGCCGGGTCACACGGAGTCGGGAGTTCTGTAGTTGCTTTTCTCTGCTAATTAACAACGCCACAAAGGCAATCAAATGAGTAATACATCACACATTCTTCAAGCTCGGGCTGTCAAAGGTGGCTTACAATGAGTGATTCCACGGATGCTTGTGGTTGAGAGAGTACGGGGCTTCGATGGTCGAATCCCCATGATGGCTTCCTCGAATGTGACTTCCACAGATATCTCGGGGTCTGCAAGGTGGATCTAGTCGATCTTACCACGGCGACGGCAGATATGAACGGCCACACGATTCCGCACTGAGCAGTCAATCTTCTATTTGTTAACTTGGTATTCTACGCCCGGTCCTTAATCTCCCTTTTTATCTTTGTAATTGTTCCCGGTCCGCCGTACGTCAAGCCAGTGTACACCATGGCCACGCTAGCGCCCGCGTTGAGAATCTTGAGCGCCTGCTCTCCATTTGTGATGCCGCCTGTCGCGAAGATGACCTTTCTCGGGGTATCATTGCCCTCGATCAGATCGTAAAGGTTGCCGGAGAGGGATCCGTCAACGTCAGGAATGGTGGCCGCCTCCTCGGCCGAGCCGGTCTGGAGGGTCTGGGCATCGAGCTTTTTGCGATATCTTCCGACCAAGTCCAGAGTTCTGTTGTACATGGCGGGTCCCGAGTATCCGCCCGTCTCCTGCAGAGCCTTCTGCTCCTTGGCGGTAAGCTTGACGCCCTGGGGAACGATGCCAGTGCGACGGTTGGTGGTGTTGCCCACGATGACGCCGTCGACACCGCTGCTGCAGACGGCCTGGACAATGCCCTCGAGTTGGGTATCCTCCTCCTCATCAGGGGAAACCTTGACCATGACCTTGGGGGGAACCTTGCGGTCCACCTTGCGAGCTTCCTGAACGACAGCGCTCAACAACCTCGTCAAAGGTTCCGTGGCCTGCAAATCGCGGAGGCCAGGGGTGTTGGGGCTGCTGACGTTGACCACCAGGATATCGGCATACCTAGCAAGACGCTGCACGCAGTAGACGTAGTCCTGAGCGACGGCATTGACATCCTTTTGGTCCGTCTCCTTGTTCTTGGCAATCTGCACAGCCAGCAGTCTGCCGGGGAGCAAACTGCCAGCAGGAACACCGGCCTCGCCATCCAAAACCTCCTGCTCCGTCGCGCCAACCTTGCGAGCAAACTTGCGCACGCGCTCCCTCAGTGTAATGGCCATGCTGTCGGCACCTCGCGAGTTGAGACCGTATCGGTTGATCATGCCGTCGAGACTGGGGACGCGGAATACGCGAGGGCGGGGGTTGCCGTCCTGCGGGCGAGGCGTGCAGCCACCGACCTCGACGATGCCGGCACCGAGGGCGAAGAGGGCGTCAGGGATGTCGGCGTGCTTGTCAAGACCGGCGCTGATGCCAATGGGGTTGGTCAACTTCATGCCGTAGACTTCGGTCGCCAGAGCAGGATGTTCGGCAAGGGTTCTGTCGCGCTCGCGGATGTGCAGACCGAGATCGTAGAGGGTCTTCATCATGCCTGTGCCGGCGTGGTGGGCGTCCTCGGCGTCGCTCCAGGTAAAGCGCATCAAGATGGGCGCCAATCCGTGGATCGAGGCTCTCGTGTCGGTGACATAGAGGTAGGAGATGTAGAGGGACCCGGCAAGGGCAATGCTGTATAGGCCAGTCTTCAGACCCGAGCCGGCCTGGGATTCTGTCGAGGAGCCGGTGCCGGTAGATGCATGACGTCGAGGGATGTTGCTAGGGAGTCTGGGACGGACGATGGCAGGATTTCTGACGGTTCGGAGGGCGGACTGCACGCGGCAGGATCGCATGCAGATGGATGCCATTGCAGAGAAGAGTTGCCGGTCCTAGCCAGCACTCAATGGCTCAGCGTTGGGGTGGATTTGAGAGTTGTGATCTGGACGAGGTCAAGGGCCCCAAGGCGGAATGGGCGCGAAGTTTGGGTTGCACATTTGGCGTCGCTCTGGTACGGGAGGACAGTGTGAAGACAGTACCAATAGACACGGTACAAGGTCTAGGGTATTTTTCTAAGAATAAAATCGTATCAGATCATGACGTTCTCCATGTCTCTATGGTCCGTCTCCGTCTCCGTCTAGCCCAAACGCCGTCCCTATGCACTACAAAAGAAAATAATGCTGTCAAAGAACGTCTAGGATATCTATGCTTTCCCGCCCCTCTCGTCTCTGTCTTTAAGCCTCCATATTTACCGCCCTCTCAGGAGCAGCGATGGCCTGCACCGCATGCGTTCTCTCTTGGACTTCCTCTGCCTCCTCGACGACTTCAGCCTGTCTGTTCAAGAAGCTCAGATAGGTCTGCCACCCAACTGCGATCACGCCCGAGAAGACGCTACGATACTCCATCGGGATGAAAGAGAAGCTGAAGGCCGTCACTGCTGGCCACAGCTTGCACGAGTTGACGATGCTCACGGGCACACATTGTCGGATACGGTCGATGATTTGATCAAAGTTGTCGCCAGCCAGGAACGACTGCATGCCGAAGAAATACGAGTTGAATATGGGTGTAAAACACACCTGGTTCACCACGACCTTGGTGGCTAGCGAGAGGAGTCGCGAGGCGTAGTTGAAGTTTTGGGAGAGAAATATGAACCTGTCGCAAACAAGGCTGTATCAGTCGCTATCCGAACAATCGAAGCCCATGCGAGAGCCGGGAGCACGATGACGAGCACGAGGACGACCAGACCTACCACTTATAACTGGGAATAGAGGAAATGGCGCCAATGATCAAGGAGCGCATCGTCCGCTCGGGGTTGTAGTCGTTGCCGCTCATGTTCTGGGCCGAGAGGTCGGCGCAAAAGTAGATGACCAGAGAGCTGATGAACTGCGTCGTCAGAGGTCTCTTGCGCTGGGCTCGGGCATAACCCTCTCCGGCGCGGGTCAAGGGTCCGAGGCGCTGCCATAACGGGATCGTCGTGATGGTGTTTGGCACGGGAATAGGATCCTCTGCCCTCTTCGGCTTGGGTGCTTCGGAGCTGGAGTTGGCGCGGCGCTGTTGCTGCTGTGCCAAGCGGTTGCGCAGTCCTTGGGCTCCGGGTGTTTGGCGGCGCAAGAACACTCGGAACAGTGTTGTGGTCGTGGCCATGCTCGCTTCGGTTCGGTTTGAGGAATTTCGGTAGGTGTTATTGAGGGATCATAGTCGAGGGTGTCGAGGGAGAGATTTGCAATGCGCCTCTTCGTCCAAGGTAGATTACTCTTGGTACTGCGTAAGGAAGGGTATGCCGAGAAGTATGGCCGAGATGATCCCCCCCCAAAGGCGTAGGGCGGCATGGACACACGGTCACACACGCATACACCCGCCCGACACCCGATACCCAGTCACCCACACTTGGTGACTGGATTCAGTGCCAAGTGGACTGGAGTTCCTGGACTGCCCGCTGTGCCCGCCTGGACCCCTGGAGAGCAAACCGGGAAAGTGCGGCAGTGGCATTGCCGAAGCCGATGGCGGCCCTTCCGCCGGGGTCCGGGCCCTGTGGGGTGGGGCCCTCTGATGTTTCTCTTCTTGTTTCTGTTTGGTCCGTTGTTGCGTGCTTTTCCCCTTGTACCTTTTCGGGTGCCTTATGTAAGGTGGGTCAAGGCACGTGCAGCTGCCAGGGGTGACAGGCCCTAGCTCCACGCCACCCGCTGCCATCTGTCCGCCCCCTACCACCACCTGGCAGCCGTCATCAGCTGCCCCTCCACCAGATGTCACTTGGGAGCTGGCGGGGCAGCTGGCGGGGCAGCTGGGCGTCCACCTGCGCACCACAGTTGACTTACACGTTGCGAATCACCAAGTCGTGTGCTCCCATCTTGTGATACCCTGCCTTCTTCTGACTTAGCATTCTCCGGTAAAGACTAGAACTGCCATCCAACCATTCTTCTTGTTCTTCAGCTGTCGTCAAATATCACTTACCGCAAGGCGATTACCGAGATCATCATGACAGTACCCTAAACTACGCCCAAGTTGTACGAGGCTACCAAGCTGTGGTACATCCCTCGCCCCTTCGATACTGACCTCTGGATGCCTTGCCTGATCTGACTGTTCAATAGACTATAGCGAGGTTTCGGTGTCGAGAAGGAAAGGCGGTATACTCAATACAATCACGTCGGTTACTTCCATGGCCTATTACACAGCTTCTGTCTTTCTAACAATCCTCGCAATTTCCATCCAAAGCACCACAGACATCACTATCGAGAACCAAGATATAGACAGAAAAGGCCAGCAATATGTGGCTTCTCAACACCACCACCTACGAACTGCGCATGTTCATCTTCGGCAGTACTGTGCCCTCCTACGCCATCCTCTCACACACTTGGGGATCCGACGAGGTGACCTTCCAAGACATCCAAACCCTGCCCCTGGCATCCAAGAAAGCCGGCTTCACCAAGATTCAAGGATGCTGCACCCAAGCCCTGCGTCACAACATTGAATGGGCCTGGATCGATTCCTGCTGCATAGACAAGACCTCCTCTGCAGAGCTGTCCGAGGCCATCAACTCCATGTACTCTTATTACCTCCTCTCCCGCGTCTGCTTCGTCTACCTGGCCGATGTACCGCCGCTCTCCTCCTCCCCTCCCATGGACCGGCTCCCATCACTCGCTTCCTCAAAGTGGTTCACTCGCGGCTGGACACTCCAGGAACTCATCGCACCCCGGAGAACAATCTTTTACACCTCGGACTGGTCCCGTCTCGGAACCAAAGGCGTGCACACCGACGAACGCCCCTTTATCCAGGCCCTCTCCTCCATCACAGGAATCTTCGAGTCCGTCCTCGCCAAAACCCGCCACCCGCGCGACTACTCCGTCGCAGAACGCATGTCCTGGGCAGCAAACCGCCAGACGACCCGCGCAGAGGACCTAGCCTACTGCCTCATGGGCCTCTTCGGCGTCAACTTCCCCGTGTTATACGGCGAGGGGCTCAAGCACGCATTTCAACGCCTCCAACACGAGATCATACGAACATCTCCCGACGAGACAATCTTCGCGTGGAGGGCGGATCCGCAGCAGCAGCTTGTGGACCCGTACACGGGCGAACGCCGATCCAGGACCGTCACGTCGTCGGGCTTGCTTGCCGACTCGCCCGCCGACTTTGCCCACTCGCACGACGTTCACCAGCGCGCGCTTCTCCCGCCGTCCCCGTTTCGGGAGTTCAGCATGACGAACATGGGCCTCTCCATCACCGCCAACCTCGTGCGCTTGACGCCTGCTATCAGCGGTGGGCCCCGCGGTAGTCCCGCGCCGCAGTCCATGTTTGTGGTACCGATAGGTGCGAGCGGCCGGCCGAACGATAGCTCGCCGCGTACCCGGATTGGAGTGTACCTGGAACCCGTGCTCATGGCGGCGAGTCGCGCCGGCCACAAGACCTCGTACTTTCGCCGTGCAGTATGCGATAAGTTTTGTTTCGCGTCGACTGGCGAGTTTCCGCAAGGCGCGCTTGCCAACATTTATATCCTCGAAGACGATCAGTTCGCCGAGATGCAATTCGCGGATAGACCTCCCACCCCGAGACCGGGCTCGGCGTCAGGATCAGGCTCGGATGGGGGAGGGAACTGGTCGCCGTCGATTGGAGCCAGGTTATCGCTTTCTCCCAGTCCGTCTCCGAGACCCTCGCCTAGAGCATCGCCACTCCCACGCATGGAATTAGGATGAGACTCGGAGTACGAAGACACTAGAGAAAAGTGTCAGTTGAAATGATTGTGATGGACGGAATAACGAGTTGCTCTTGTAGAGATACCCCGGCTCTCTATGCATTAGAGGGCCAAGATGCACGATAGAAAACGAATCAAAATCACCATGTCACATCCGAGTGTTCAGAGCAATTACGTTTCAAGCTTTCTCATTCACCCGGTACACCTGCAATGTACCACTCCTCCAAAACATGAGTTACTCGGGTATCTCATCCAGGAAAACCCTCCTGTTGTTATGCCTTTTACTACATACATGATTTCCCCTCCCCCCTCAGCAAAATGGCAGCGCATCGCCGTGAATGCTCTTTTCCTGTATTTTTCCTTATCCTCCTCTGGATATCTCTCATATCGTGCTGTTTTGCCCTCCTCAGATCTAGGTATTTTTCCATCTCTTCGGAGGAGCGCAGAGCATTCATCAAAAGGAGTGCTGGCGTGCTGTCACTGCCGGTCTAAGGGGTGGTTGTTGTTGTTGTTGTTGTTGTTGTCGGGTGCGCAGCTGTGACCCTTCCACAGGGTCGCATTGTAAAAAGTAAACATCTCAAATCGTCCCCTACTCCCCGGCCGCCTCCCACATCTCCCTTCGGAAAGGATAGTGGGGGAGGGGGAAAGGGGGTAAAAGGAGACGTGGTATCAAACGTTATATTCCCAAGAACATGAAACGAAGAAAAAGTAGTACCACCTCGCAAAACGCGTACGTAGAGTAGAGGACGCGTCATTGTCGTCGGTGAAATGAAGAAAGTGCGGGTCGTGAAGGTCGTATCGTACATCAGATGAATCGAAGAGGAGCTCAAGTCTTGGAAGGACAAGCTCCGCGTCGTTGTGAGTGCTGTCGTCGTAGCAGGGAGGAGATGAATTAGCATATTTGTGAGCGGGGCGAAGATGTAGAAGTTAGAACAAGATCGATGAAGCCAGCCCAGCTTTGAGAACATATCCGGATTTTGTTGTTTTCCAAGTGTTTTTTATAGGTTTTGTCGTCAGTGGCAAGGAAATGTTGTGTAATGAGTGAATATGGTCGGTGGATAGACAGAGTTGTAAGGAAATGTTAACGAGTGTCGGGTGTCGGTTATATCTCGACGTAGAGAGATAATAAGGAAATTTTGAGTGATTGTACGTCTCGTCGGCTTGGCTGGCGTTCCATCTTCCCTGTTCAGCTAAAAACATCTTCAGTAATCCCCGGGTAAATCTCATCAAAATACTGCGTCAGTGCTCCTCCTGTTGTCAACGCTCGAGCGGGGCGAGACCTCGAGCATCTTGGTGCTCCCCGCGCTCACATGCCTGGCGTTGCCCCTGCGGAGGCTCACGCTCGTGGCGCGTTGGAGTTTGGGCGTCTCGCCTTCCTCAGAGCCCTCGGGCGACGTGCTGTCCTCTGTGTACGACTTCAGCATGCCCTCGCGGCTCTTGACTCTCTGATGCTGCACGACCGCGGTGCGCTGCCTGTCGACCGACCCCCACTTCATATCCGCGTCTTCCATCATCTCATCCTCGTCGCTGCTGGGGAACGCGTCGCCCGTCGACTTGCGCGGGGTGCGCTCTTCGCGGGACGGCGTGGCGAGGTTGGACAGGTACTCATCGTCGGCGAGTTCTTCCTCCGTGTCGTTTGGCGAGGCGGAGTGGCTAGTGTTCTGCGGCGGGAGACGCTGCATGCTGCCGCGCATGCCCGACGAGCGACGGGCTCCGCCGACGCGGCCGGAGAGCCACGATCCTTCCGAGTCGATGGACGCGAGGGAGACGGGCTCGGGGGAAGGCTGGATGCTGGGTCGCAGCGACGTGGGCGTCTGCCGCATCTTCTCGAGCTTCTCCATCCTTTCCATCTTCTCATCGACGCGTCGCAGGTCTGATGTCGGGGTATCGTGTCTCACGGCAGGCGTGGTGTGCAGCGAAATCTCTCCCGACTTGGACTCTGAGACAACAGGCAGAGGAGGCATCTCCACTTCCGGGGACCCAACGCGCGAGTCGGGCGGGCTGAGGGGCAGCTCGGGCAAGTCCTCCCTGAAGCGCGACCTAGTCCGCTTGGGAACGCCGTTGCTGACTTTGCGAGGAATGTAGTTGACAGGTGGGGGGATCGCAGGCATCGGCACTTGTACCGGCGCCTCTTCTTGTGGTTGAGGCACATGCGGCGCCGACTGCGAGTAGGCTTGGGCGGCGGCCGATGCCTGCATCGTCTCGCGCGATGTATTCGAGAAGGAAGACGGTCCCGAGTTTCTCCTGTTTCTCTTGCCCAGGCGGAATAGCGCCGAGAAAGAGATGCGAGTGCGGCTATCCTTGCGGGGGGTCTCGCCCTCGTCCTGTCTCGATGAATATTGTGAGATTGCGTGTTGGTCAGACTCTGTGGCATTGGGCGATCTTGATCTCGAAATCCTCCTCAGGAAGCTCCTCTTCAACCTCACGCTGGCCTTGGGCGTAAGTTTCTTGCTCGTCTTGCGCTCCGGGACGGGCTGCGCGGGCAGCGTCGGCGAAGGCGGTGCCTCTGGCGGGATGCTTGTCGTCCGGTGAAAGTGGTGCACGGCCGCCGGTTCGGGCTCAATGTCCATCGTCTCGGGCTGCGGTTCCTGCTGCGGTTCCTGCTCCGGTTCCTGCTCCGGTTCCTGCTCCGGTTCCTGCTCGGAGTCTTTGGTCGTTGGAATGTTCCTTGAATGCCGTGATGAGCTCCATGACCTTCTCCTGGAAGAGGTGACCACTGCAGACGCTGCATCAATTCCCAATCCGAGCTCGCGGCCGAGGACACCGCGTTCCAGGTTGACTGGCGGCGGTGATCCGCTGTGACGGGCTTCCGCTACAGCCTCGCGCTGGTTTTCTGACCTCCGTGCCAGTCTCCTCTCTATCCGTTCCTGGTCTCGTTGGCGTTTCCTTTCTCTCCTCCTGTTATCTCTCTCCATCAGTTCCCTCAGGTCGGCGGCGTCCAAGTCATCCGCAAAGCTGTCGACCCTCCTGTGTGCCCTCACCACTGACTCGGGCACCCTCTCTGAAACTTTCCTCTTCTGTTGTTGTTGTTGTTGTTGTTGTTGTGTGCGCGATGGCGCCGAACCATGTCCAGGACCCCATCGTGGGTATACTGCGTATCGTAATGTTGGTCGGGGTGATAGTGCCTCGAGGGCAGAGACTCGGAACGAATGCAGCTCCGTGTCGGATGACATGCTGGAGTGAATCGATATCGGTAACGAAACGTCCGACTGCGGGTTTTCGAAGCTCCTACGGAAGCCGAGGCCGGTCTTGAGTCTTTTGCTCTGTTTCCTCATGGGCCGCCCTGACGTCCAAGGGTCGGCCGCCGGTCGTACCGGGGCGAAGTTTGTCATGGCCTTGATTTCCGCCTCACGATCCGTCTCTTCTCTCCTCCTCTTGCTAGTCTTGCGTCGAGAAGACCTCGACGGTTGGCCGTGGCGTGCATTATGTAGGGTTGGCGCCCGCTGCCACGCGAGATCCCCTTTTCCTTCTCCGTCATTTCGGTCGGCTGGGAAGAGCCCTGTCGGCCGGCCAGGTCCTAGTGGAACCGAGCCTTTTTGCCCCGCGACACGGATGGAGTCATTGCGACCGGGGGAGAAGCTGTAGGTGCGTTCTCTTCTGGGCGCCGGTTGCTGCTTCTCGAGACGCTGCTTCTTCTTCGGCATGGCCGCCCTCGGCGCAGTGGCTTCGCCCGCTGTGAGACGTCGTGCTTGTGATGGTGTTGGTGGTGCCTCGACATCCGAGAGGTTTGCGCCGCTTCGCGAGCGTTTGCGACCGCTCCTCCGGCGGAAGGGCCAAAGGGCCATTTTCCCATCAGCCGACGCGGTGGAAAAGCGTCACCAATGGGTGGTTTGGTGGTGATGAGTTATCGAAGAATACTGGGGTGTTTGTCGAAGGACCGATGTCTGTATGGTTGCATGATCGTTGGCGTATTATTCAATATCGATGAATAGCATGCGTGTCGCCAAGGTAGAGTGATCAGTGAGTGTGGACGGGCTGCCTCGTTTAGATCTCAATGCTTCCTGCTGACCAGAATCGCCACCAGTTTCGCAATGGACGAGTAAAAACGAGAGGTGTGCTGCTGGGGTTGTCCCGAGCCAAAGGAAATGCGGAAGCTTGTCTGCTTAAAGAAGGATCCGGGATTGTGCAGCAAATATGGGATTGGGCCTTTGGAGGAGAGGGTATTGGCCAGCCAGGCTTGTTTAAAGCGAGGGGAGGGGAGGGGAGGAGAGGAGAGACAAGAGACTAGGAGACTAAGAGAAGAGTGTGTCCCATAGGTACGGGAGTGACGGAGCCATATGGATAGCAAAAGCAAGGTATCCGTACAGTACCTCTCCTTTTAGTTCGAGGATTATAAAGTGGCAATGGCTGGGCTGGATATGATGGAATGACGAATGGGGGAACTCTCATAGACCAAGCAGGCTTCTTGGTGAACAGACCAGACACGAGACGGGGCACGCCCGAGCAAAAGACTGGGCTTGGCCGGACAGAAGAGGGCAGCTGGGCAGCAGACCTTTTCCTTTCCCTTCCTCTCCTCTCCTCTCCTCTCCTCTCCTCTCCTCTCCCCTCCTCTCCTCTCCTTTCCTCTCTTCTCTTCTCTTCTCTTCCTTGGACTTTGCCCTGGGCCGACCTGGTGCTTGCTGTTACTACGGAGTACTGCTGCTTCTTTTTCTCCTGCTGGCTGCTGCTCTTCTTGCTGATGGAGCCGCTGGGCAAGGACTGGGGAGAGCTTGTTGCTTGGCTGGGCTGGCTGGCTGGCTGGCGCCGGTGCTGGTAGCTTTTTGCCGGCGCCGTGCTGGAGCGGTACCTTGCGGTACCTATCCGAACTGGGCCATCGAGTGGCAGGGCAAGGGAGCATGAGCCGGGACCTTTGGGACCACCAGATCAGACCAGGAGGGATGGGACGGCCAGGGCTGGTTGGTTTGGGCTGGAGGAAAAAGTCAAGGGTCGGTCAAGGACTCTAGGGTGAAGGGGTGGGCAGAGGGAGGGTGGCCAGGGGTGGAAGGGGGTGTGAATTGACCAGACATGGACAAAGTGTGATGTGTGCCCGGGGGTTGGAGGGTGCGTTGCGTTTTGTGTTTCTTCCTGCTTCCCCTAGCTTTTTAATGGTCAATTGGTTGATGTGTATCCTTATGGGACCCCGGGGACAGCGTGCCGTGCGTCTCTTCCGTTCTTGAGGGTTGAGTTGAGTTGAGTTGTCGAGATTGATGGGACTGAATCTGTACAGATATGGGTATCGCCGTCCGCATACACCAATGGCAGTCCGGAATCAAGATAGAGACTGGAGGAACCACAGGAGAACGTTGACGTGTGCTTCGCGTGGTTTTCCGGAAAACCAGTGCCTGTGCCTGCGCCTGCGTGAACGAGGGAGAGATGGTCACCAGCCGCCAGCGAAGTCTCCTGCCGGCAGGGGGAATGTCAATGTCGTCGATGGGATCGGGGACTGCCAGGACTGGGCCTGATCGTCGCGAGTTCTTTCTGCTTCAGTATCAACGGAGTGGACCCGACCAGCTTTCCAGCACACCACTTGCTGCTCGGCTCCAAGTGCTGCCCTGGTTTGCGGCTTGCCCTGGTCTTGTCCCGGTCCGGCCTGAGAAGAAGAATTAAGAGAAGAGAGAGAGAGAGAGGCTCAGGGCAGGACGCAAGATTCAAGAAAGGAGCGCTCAACGAATCCAACCAGTGACGCGATGCGATGCGATGCGATGCGATGCAGTGCGAGTCTGCCGTGGCGCTGGTTCCTGGCCTGACTGACTGCGAGCGGACCCTGGGTCCGGCTTTGCATGTCTCTTACTTCTAGGATCTCTATGGACGACCCGCGGGTCTGACATCCAGCCCCTGGAGTTCCAATGTCTCACCGTTTGGAGGCCTTTCTGGTCTCCCCGGGGCTTGTCTCATATACCGTTGTCTTATTCTGTGGTTTGGTGGCTTGACAGCCTGAGTATGACTGGAATTGTTCTACTTCGTAGTGTCGAGTGGCTGGCCACCTTTGGCATTCGATAGTCGTAACGGTTCCAGCATGCCTCTCGATGTAAATACTTAGTACAGACAGTGACGCAGTGAGCAAGGATATCTGTACGTGTTAAAGTTTCTGCTCTTTCTATCTCCAACGGTGGCCGTCCCCTGGCCGCCGCTGTGCCCTGCGCGATGCACCGTGAAAAGCCCGTATGTGCAAGTTAAAAAAATGAATAAAAATTAAAAATAAAAAGGTAAAAAGAAGGGAGGTGGGAGTGGTTCAGTCAAGGTACCCGCCGCACCTGTTCGGTATCGCTTCGTATCCGCGCCGCAGACCCGTCCGAGTCCCCTATTCCGCGGTAGCTCAGGTCTTGCGGCTACATGTACCCAGTACAGATACTTTGTAGGTTTCTTTTACTTCTGCACTAAGTCAAACAGCAGATGCGTTGTTGGCGGCTGCAAGTCGGCTCCATTGCAATGCCGCCGACTAGAGCCCCGGAAAGTCAGTGATAGATGGCAGCGTCGTCCACAAGTACGCAGAGTTCGGGTCTGAGCCTAGCCCGCGAGGACTTTGGCCTGTTTGCTATGCAGTTGTGGTGTAGGGCTGTGTAAATAACGCAGGATTCCTACTCGGTTGAATTGTTTGACTTTGTGTGTCCGTCCGTACGGAGTACACCATGTGACTACCCATCCACGCCATCACTCTCCCTGAGCCTTTTGGACGTTGTGAAAAAGACGAGGGCTGGAAGGGGATTCGCCCTGGCCCTGAGTCATCCTCTCGAAAGGGATAGAGAATAGATCCGGGAACTGGAAATCGAGACAGAATGGATCCATCTCAGCCTCAATCAAGAATCGTCGTCCGTCAATGGATTTGTCCTTTCGGTACCCCCATAGCGCTTTTCCTTGCTGTGCCACACATTGAGGGTCTGGGACCCCCAATAAAAATCAACCAAGAATATCCAAATCCGCCGGCTCAGTAACAAGGGCGGCCCACCCGCGCACCGAGAGAGGAATAAATCTGGAGAAGCCCTTGTTTCCTGGCCCTCCTCCCTCAGTGGGGATTCCGAGAGAGAAACAGAAAGGGGGGGGGGGGCGGCAAACAGAGTTCATCGTCTGGGTCTGGCCGCAACTCTTTGCCGCATAAGCTACAGCTTGTTAGCGCCCCGCAACCTTCCGAACCGTTGCGGTGCGTTGCTCTCCATCAGATGATGTGGTTGCCGCTGCCGTTGTGAACTTGCAAAGTTGTACGAAGGCTGTTGTCAGGCGCCATCGCACCCACCGTTCTCTGTCGGAGGGTGGCCTTTCATGTCTTCAGGATCTGCGCCATCATCTTTCCCCAGATATTGCCCAGCCCGATGCGTTGATTCTGAGAAACGTTTTGACGTTAGCCTCTTCCTAGCCTGTCCCAATGTATGACCGTCATCTTGCCACTCGCCTCTGTCCACTGAGCTATCACCTCAGCTCACAGACAGCTGCACAGGGCGAGGCGTGCGCTGGGGCTTTGGCTTGAAGGTTGCTCTAGGGCGAGTTGACGGTGACACTGACGTATGTTTGGCGCCAGTGACTACCGGCCGTCCCGCCGTCATTTTGCGGGCGGATGATCGACTGGGAAGAGCCTTAGAGCAACGAGAAGGCTACCTAGTCTCCTTGTCTCCCTACTAGCAGTCCGGCCGGCTGTCAGTTCCTTCTCCTTGCGCACAAGCTCATCCTCTCATGGCCCTCCTCGAGGCACTGACAGGAATTAGACAAAGCGAAAAAAGATGAGGAGCCATGACCAAAGTAGCCTTAGCCGTTGAGAACTTGAGGGGGACTCCCAGATACATCATCTGACCACTCCAGCTCCCAGAATAGCGCCCGCCCCATCGCCTCCGTCAGCCGCGTTGCTACGGGGTCGGCTGCGGTGTCTTTTGGGCCACACCGTGAGAGCTTCGATCTGTGGTGCAAGAGCCTGGGAAAGCAGGGGACTGGAGGTGGTGCCGTTCGGTTCGACGGTTGCGCAACGTTCTGCCCTGCCGGCCGCGTCCTTGACTCCCATCCCACAGTATGCGTGGCCTGTAGGGATCGTACTTGTTGGAAAACCCGAACGTGCCTGTTTGCGAGGCACAAGGGCCATCTGCCTTTGGGGCAGGGATCGTACTTCTTCTCTAAAGTACCGTTACCTGCGGAGCGGGACGCCAATACCTCTGCGATGGAGTAGCCACGGCCATCGAGGGCCGTATCGAACACAACGCCGCTTGAGGGCCGCTACATGAGTCTGGCCCTCTTTTGTACGAGAGAAGGACTTGGCTCGATGGGCACCTGCAGGTCCCTCAATTGGAAAACCCTCAATTCTTGCTCGTATTCGTCCTCAACTGCCCTGAAGAAGCTGCTCGAACGACGCTGGAACCCGTATTTGCTGCGGTCTGCCCATTGCCTCGGGGCCCGGCACTCGCCGTCCACGACGTCGACGTGGCCTGGAAGTTGGAACCAACACTCGCAGCTTTCGAGATCCCTTCCAGTCCCCGCCCAACGAGATCGTGAGCCGTATCCATCTACTTAGTACTATCCTGGCTTCACCGTGTCGTGGCCATATGCTGTTGTCAATGCATCGCATGGAACCGCAGCCTGCCACGCCTGCGAACATGTGAGCTCCCGCAATCCACTATGCCGTACGTAGCATGTCGACCGCGCTGCTGATTTTTGCCCAAGCATGCCTAGTTGCTCATGGGAACTTGGGAAGTGAGTTGATACTACGGCAGACTGCAAGAGGCACTCCGCCAAAACACTTTTTCTCAGTAGACGTACGGTAGCCGTATAATTGAGTACGCTAAAGTGCTATACGTGCCCTATATATAAATGAATATGATTATTAATCTTGTATAATATAGTAAAAGTTAGTTACGAACGGAGGCGCCGTAAATTATATGAGGGCGGTTAACTAGGCGGTATAAATGGAGTTACTAGGGTCTATACCTCTTTATTAATTTCCACTACTGATTAATTTTCTCTTTTTCCTACCGAAGTTAATATTCCTTAAGAGAGGTAAATAAACCGTCTACGCCCCCTCATTTACTTATATACAATTATATTTGTTATATTATATTATTATATTATTATAACTGACTACCGTCTTCTCTTATTTAATCATTAATTTCTCTTTTATTTTAATTATTAGCTTAATTCTAGTATTAATACTAAGAGATTAGAAGTAGGCAAAAAGAGAAAAGGTAAATGAGTTGAGATACGAGTTGGGATAATCAGAGAATTGATTGTGTTGATGATTATTCTATGATATGATGGGAAAGTGTAGTCTATATATAATATAGAAATATCACATGTAGTCACATGTAATTACATGTGATGCTTAAGTCTGAGCATTAAGTTTATACGGGCATATGTGCCTGTCGGCGCTTTAACATGTATATGTGAAGCGTATTTACGTACGGGCTGTACGTGCGTACAAAGCGTTGTATCTCAGTAGATACGTACTTCGGTTGAGTGTTACGAGCAGGTCAAGGCAACCAACTGTGGCACAAAGCAAAAGCTTCGATAATGATGACTCCGCATCATTTTCCCTTGTTCTGCGTTATGTGGCTACGCGCTCACAGTGACAAGTTGCGGCGGGCGTAACATTGAGCCTCTTACTACCATGTAACTTCTTAAGTACGTAGCTCTTATAGTACTAATCAAGTATAAGTTTCAGAATTTTGGTAAATATTCTAAGTTTTAATACTGCTGAAGTAGAGGCACTATAAGTAGAAAAGAGTAGTGTTATACTAGAAGAGAGAATAACACTTAGAATCAGGGTCGTATAGAAGGTACTAAACTATGCGTGCGATAATATAATAATCACGCAAAGCCTGGATATAACGTATAAACCTGTGAAGTAGTTTATGATAGTAATGAGGAAGAGGGTGATATATAGTTTTAATTGATTTTGTACGTTATGGCTAAATTAACTTATATAAAAGGTGGAAAGGTCTAAGAGAGTGCTGTTACGGCCAGCTAGTCGTAGGGGTAGTTTGCAGAAGTTGAGGCTGCGGAACTGGTAACAGTAATCGTAGTCGTGGAATAGTTTCAAGGAAACTATGTCTGTCAATCGTAAGGGTAGGTAAGGCTTCGGTGATCAGTCGTAGTCTTGTTAAGGTAGTAGCTGAAAGCGGATGTTAATCCTGATACGAAGTTAATTGCTGAAGAAGCTATGGGAAGTCTGTCCTAGAGCCCGGCTCGAGTCCATCCTATATACAAGTCCTGATCCTGAACATATCCTTTGTTGCCTGATCACCATGTTCGTTGGTGATCACTAAGTGGATACTGGTGAGCGCTCACTTTGGGTGATCACTGTGATCACCTTATCGTGTGCTCACTTTCCTTATCGTCACGTGACTTGTTCCATAGTTCTTCCGTTCCATGAGGAGTCACCTGAGTTCCCGGATTCTCTGCGTATATCAGGTAGATAGCCGCCGCAGGCCTGTGGGGCGGGCCCCCTGGCCTTGTTATGCATGTTGGGTTGTAACAAGTGCGTCGCTCGCTATGATGCGTCGCTCGCTATGTGAGTACGTTATGTAGTCTTTTTTTTTAATAGCTTAGGGTTTAATAATTAGCGACTTAGTTTTAATTTAAAAAATAATAAATAAATAGTAATTCTTCTTTTTATAAGAGATTATAGTTTTAAAAAAGATCTCTTTAAACTTATAGCTTTATATACTACCTCCCAGTATTTAAAAAAATTATAAGAATTCTTTATACCAATAAGTAATACTATCTATTTTATAAAAAGAATTTACTAGTTTATTATAAAGTAGAAAATAATAGACTGTATTATATTATAATATAACTAAGAGGTTAGAGGTAGGCAAAAAGGGAAAAGGTAAATAAGTTGAGGTACGAGTTGGGATAATCAGAGAATCGATTGTATTGATGATTATTCTATGATATGGTGGGAAAGTGTAGTCTATATATAATACAAATATCACATGTAATCATATGTAATCACATGTAATCACATGTGGTGCTTAAGTCCGAGCATTTATTATTAAGTTTATACGGGCATATGTGCCTGTCGGCGCTTTAACATGTATATGTAAAGCATATTTACGTTCGGGCTGTACGTGCGTACAAAGCGTTGTATCTGAGTAGATACGTACTTCGGTTGAGTGTTACGAGAAGGTCAAGGCAACCAACTGTGGCACAAAGCAAAAGCTTCGATAATGATGACTCCGCATCATTTTCCCTTGTTCTGCGTTATGTGGCTACGCGCTCACAGTGACAAGTTGCGGCGGGCGTAGCATTGAGCCTCTTATTACCATGTAACTTCTTAAGTACGTAACTCTTATAGTACTAATCAAGTATAAGTTTCAGAATTTTAGTAAATATTCTAAGTATATAAAGTAAAGATTGAGAAGCGATTAAACTAAAATCTCTTAGTCAACTTCTTAATAACTTAAATATTAGTGGCTATAAGTCATTAATAATTAATTTTGCTTCTTTTTAGTTTATTAAATACTTTGTTCTCGTTCTTAGAAACTTATAAGAAGAGATTTTATTAATATTAAAGCTTATATATTTAAATACTCTCATTATATAAAAAGAGTAAAGCCTTTAGTGAGATTATTCTCAATCGTTCGTCTTAGAGTCACTCTATAAAAGGGCGTTATAAGGTTAATTATTTTAGTTATATCTCGAGAAGAGACTAAAAGTCATTATAAATCTATATTACAATATCTATAAGCTAGCTATTAGTTTAATAACTTAAGTAAAGAATGACTTTTACTCGTAAAAGGGTAAAAAATAGTAATTACTGTTGGAAAGATAAATCTTTTACCTTATTATTTGCCTTATTATTCATATTACGTAAGCATATTATATATTATATTAATTTATAAGAGTTATAGATTAATATAGATACTGATTACGTAAGCCAAATTAGTTATGTAAGCTTACGTGAGCGAAAGAAGGCACTGGAAGGTAATAGAACGCGCTGGAATTTACTTGAAAGGTATTACGTATTACGATTACGCATTTACTTACGTATATGCTTATTAATTATGATATAATTAACAAGCAATAGAACATTCTAGTCGGAGGATCTTATGCCTATATAAAGGCATCTTTTTACCCACTTAGACCTTTCGTTAAGCAAGCAACTTCTCATATAGTAATCTAAGTATAGTTATACTCTCTTTACATTTATCAATCTCTTTTATATACGCTTAACTACCCCTATATTTATATATTCTTGCTTCTATATAAATATTCACCATTTAATACTCTTGTATAAGATTCTTATCACTTACCTCTTAAAGCTATCGTGCCAGAATTACCTCTATAATAAAGGTATAATAAAAAGAAAGAGTTTTTATAATAGCTTATAATAATGTGCAATTTTATATATTATTATATAGGGTCCTATAAACTTAATCAATAATATGTTTTAAGCCGTAATTCTATATTAACTATATCTATAGTTTATCTTACTATTGTAAAGTTTAATAATCGGTGGTGGAGTGACTGTTAAGTTCGATTTCTGCTTTGACGCATGAAAAAAGTGTTTTGGCGGAGTGCCTCTTGCAGTCTGCCGTAGATACCCCAAAGGTTCAAGGTTAGT